TTTATCAATTAATTATGGCGTTCCTCAAGGATTAATATTTTAGGACCATTTTGTTTTTATTATATGTTAATGATTTAAGCAATGCTTTTAATATTTTAGATTCTACCATACTTGTTGATTATACAAATTCATTTTATTCCAATATTGATGTAAAAATATTGTTTAAAACGGTCAACATTGAACTTCTAAAATTAACTGAATGGCTAAATGTAAATAAACTGCCATTTATTTTAACTAAAAAAAGTATACCTTTTATTAGTTTAACTAAAACTAAGAAGTCGTTTTTTCATCGTCTTTATAAAAAAGATAAAATCTTTTAAACACTCTCAAAACTTTTTATTGGTGTTCAAATCGTAAAAAGACAATGTTCAATTAAATCTTAAATTTAATTCTTGATGGAAACACGGAAAGATGATTCAAAATAAAATTTCTAAAAAGATTTGTTTACTTTATATAGCAAAACCTCTCTTATATCAAATATGCCTAAAATACATGTTTCTTATTTATTCATTCCTTCCTTAATTATTCAAATATTGCTTGGTGCACTACTAATATGACTAAGAAAAAAAAACTATTTAATTAACAAAAATATGCAACTATATTAAAAGAAGTAAATAAATAGTAACAAATTTTATTAAAATCAAATCAGTAGAGTAAAACTAAGTAAAACCGCACACCATACAATTCGGTATCACTGATCGAAGTTATCAAATAAAAACTGAACGAATATGGCTATGAAAAAAATAAAAATAGATTCGATTACATTATCTCCTCTATTCAAATTGATAAAATTAAATGTCGATTCAACTTCATTTTTTTCTTTTTTTATACTTTAACGAGTAATCTAAATTTTTTTATATTTCACATCGTTGCGGACAAAATAGCGTTAGAACCAAAACTGATTTAAAAATAATTTTAGCATTATCTTGTTGGAAATTTTTATTCTGATAGTATAATTTTTATGTAGCTAAAACAAAAAAGTTGAATAAAAAATCAAAAAAGTAAAAATATATATATATATATTTTCTGATTTAAACCGCACACTCGATTAATTCCTTAGTAATAATAAATAAAGTAAAAAGAACGCGTATACTCCAAGAAGACCTTCATGTCTTGTCACAGAAGACCTTCATGTCTTGTCACAGAGAACCTATGACAAGACCTTCATGTCTTGTCATAAAGAACGGGTGCTGGTGAAATTAGAACTTTTTCAACAAAAGTTTTTAATTTTTTTTTCTTGATGTTTTGAGTACTGCTTGCATCCATCAAACTACCGAGTTTTTTATAACTGCTAAACAATTATCTCTTTAAATTTCAAAATAAATATCACGTCTAAAATGACAGTAGTTTAAAATAGAATGCGGGTAAAAAACGTCCTCAATTTTTTGGACACAATCGTTAGAATCTTATTTGTCGAATGCGATTATTTTATTAATCGAACATAATAAAAATTAATTGATAAAAAGTAATTGTAATTATAGAAAATAATATATTTGTACCAGTGTCTTTCAATTACACATCTAGATTGTTCAAAAAAAACTAAAGATTCATATACTGTATACATATTTTATACTGTCCAACTCAATTTTAGACATATCCTTAAAAACAGGAATATTTAAAATTGATATATCAGACCACTTTCCAATACTCTTCTCACTTACACAAAAACCAGCGTCATTAAATAATTCGAAAATCAAAACATATAAAAGACAAAATTAACAAATCTATTCACAAATTTAAAGAAACCTTATCAAAAACAAATTGGTCAAATGTTTATCTACAATGCGACCGAGGACTTACAAATTCTGCTTATGATATATTTGTTGATACTTTTCTTGAGCACTACAACAAACACTTTCCAATTATTGAAAATAAATATTTGAGTTAAATATTTAAGATGTCCATGGATAACAAGAAGTTAAATATTTGAGATGTCCATGGATAACAAGTGGAATAAAAAAATCGTCTAAGAAAAAACAAAAACTATACAATAAATATTTAAAAAATAGAAACGAAAAAAATCTTACTGTTTATAAACAATACAAAAACCTTTTTAAAAAAATTAAAAAGAAATCTAAAAAAATGTACTTTTCTAAACAATTACAAAAGCACAATGGTAGTATTAAATAAACATGGGAAATTATGAATGAAGTTATTGGAAAAACCAAAATTAAGTCTGAAATATTTCCCTCCAGAATTGAGGAAGATGGATTGGAGTATACAGATAAAAAAACTATTTCCGATAAATTTAATAAATTTTTTGTAAATATCGGTCCTAAACTGGCATCCAAAATAAACAACTCGAACAATTCATTTAATAACTATCTTACTGACCATACTAGTTCATTAACTAAGAGTGACCTAAAATCTGAGGAATTTGAAGAAGCAACAAAATCAATTAGAAAAAACAAAGCTCCGGGCATCGACGACATTTCTAGCAATGTAGTATATGATGTTTTATACATTTCAAAAAATCCTCTTTTAGAGGGTTTCAAGTCATCAATTAGAACTGGAGTTGTTCCAGACAAATTAAAAATTGCAAAGATTTTACCTTTATTTAAAACTGGAGACACGGCCTTGCTAACCAATTATAGACCTATCTCAATTCTTCCAGTGTTTTCCAAACTCCTGGAAAGAATAATGTACAACCAACTTTATAAATATTTAACAGCCAAAAAAATCATAAGTGAATGTCAATACGACTTTCAAACAAATCATTCTACGGAGTATGCAACCTTAGACCTAATGAACAAAATTAGATCATCTTTTGATAAAGGAAAATTTGTATTGGGAGTTTTTATTGATCTTACAAAAGCTTTCGATACTGTCAACCATAAAATTCTGCTCACCAAAATGAGAAAGTACGGTATAAAAAACCAAACTATCAAATGGTTCACTAATTATTTAACTAACAGACAACAATGTGTTATAATAGACGGTAAAACTAATACAAAGTTATTAAAAATATAATGTGGTGTCCCACAGGGATCTATTCTTGCACCTTTATTATGTCTTATCTACATTAACAATCTCCCTAAAGTCACTACAAATCTCGATTGTATAATATTTGCAGATGATATCAATCTGTTTTACTCATCTACCTCTACCAATGACCTTTTTAATAAAGTCAACATTGAGCTTCGAAAACTTAAAACATGGTTCAGTGCTAACATGTTATCATTAAACGCCCAAAAAACTAAATATATTTTATTTCACTCAAAGAAACAGAAAAATAAACTACCATCAATTCTACCCTCACTAAGTATCGAACATAAAAAAAATGAAAAAACCCAAACAATTAAATTTCTTGGTGTGATTATTGACGAAAATGTTTCATGGACAGCCCATATAAATGCCATCAACACTAAAATATATAAAAGTATTGGTATACTTTTTAAAGCTAGACCATTTTTGTCGCAAAAAAACCTAAAACTTCTTTACTTTTCCTTTATACATAGTTATCTCACATATGCCAACATTGCTTGGGGAAGCACACACAAGAAATAAGTTTATGTACCTTTATCGACGACAAAAACATGCCTCCAGAATAATATATCATAAGAACAAACTGACCCACGCTAAACCCCTATTAAATGAAATGAAAGCGCTAAACTTTAACCAAATTAATATCTATGCTAATAAATTGTTCATGCTAAAATACAAATAAGGATTAGTTCCAAACCGATTTACAGAAAATTTCTTTCAATCTAATGTCAACAAATTTAACACAAGGTCAGCTGGTAACTTTATTGTACCCTGGAAAAGACAAAAAAATTCTCAATTTTCTATTTCTTACCGCGGCCCTTATTTATATAACAAATTAATTCCGATTTATACCTCAATTTCTCTTGCTGACAATATAACTTCTTTAAAGTCAAAACTAAAAAATCATGTTCTCAATACAGATAATTGCTTAGAAATGTTTTAGTTCCAATGATAAATTAATATTTACGCTTACATTCAAACAATCAGCAATCAATCAAAAATGAAAATGTATTTTTTTTTTTTAATTAAAAAATAAAGATAATATTATTATTATAAAATATTTGTTTTATGAGAATCATAATGTTTATATGTGTATTTTACGCAAAACCCCAAGATTCTCGATGATAAGACTAAACTCAGTCTTCTACGAGTTCCTTACCACAGTCAAAACCCTAAATCAAGTTATAGCATATTTAATTATTGCTTCCTATGTTTATCTTAACGGTATTTTGTAAAATATTAACTTTTTTGTATTGAAAGTTTATTTTGTTTATGTTATCGCAGTGTAAAAAAATTTTGTAATTAATATGTAGTTGTGAAAATTTAAAGAAAAAAAAAAAATGATGGTGTCGTTGTATACAAGACAGATTACTAAATATTTGTAAATTTACGCTCCTGCCGACGAAAAACGCCAACCCATTGCCGAAGAATGGAACCATAACATCTTTGGCAGCTAGTTTTTAATGTTGGTTCAAAGTTAATTTATTTGCTTTAACAATATCCAGGGGCGGATTAAGATTTCTTGTGGCCCGGGGCTGTTTTTGTTTTTGGAGGCCTTTTTATGGGCCAGAGCCTAAAAATGACTTTAAAAAAAAAAAAAAAAAGTCCTCTAAAATTTTTGGGGGGCCCTAAATTTGCGAGGCATGGCGCTATAGCCCCCTCACCCCCTCCTTGATCCGGCACTGGCAACATCAGTTATTACTTTACGTCTATTTAAAAGTCTATAAAAACTATAGAAAATAATATTTTCTATATAACGTTTACAGAAATTATAAAATTAGTAAAAATTCTGTAGACTTAAATGATTAATGTATATAAAATTGAACTGTTGTATAAAGAATTCTATAAAACCGTGTCTTGGGATTGCAACACACGGTTTGTTTCATTGTTTTAAAAAAAAAAAACGCTAATTCACTCAAGATTTCAAGAAAATGTTGAAACTTATTGAAAAGATCAGAATTTTTCTGTCTAATTTTTTAATTAAAATTTTTTTTAATAATAATAATTTCTCAACTTCATAGCAACGTACACGAACTTTGAAAATTAGGCAACTTATTTAATGTAGAGTTGACATTGTCGGAATTAATTTTTTGAAGTCTTTTTGTAATTGCAAAATGGTTGCTGTGGTTACAGTTGTTAGAATCTTGAAGAAATTTTAGCTGACCTTCAATTGCTTTTTGATAACTTATCAAATCGTTGCGTAGTCTTTCATAATCTTCTACTGTTGGTAGTTTGTTTCCGTCTTTAGTGGTATCTTCGTAAGAGGTGTCTATATTATATTTATACAAGTAATTTGACTTGAACCATTCCAAAATTTGAGGTGCTTTTAACGGACCTTCTACACTTCCATCTCTTCGTAGATAAATTTCATCTTTGTCATTAATGTAAAGACATTTTGGGAAATTTGGCTTATAAACCGAAATTTCTAAAACTTTTAACAAAGAATCATTTTCAAGTTCTTTGATTGATTTGTTAGAACCATGAGTTTTAACTGGAATAAACTCAATTTTATAATGATGAGGGAGCACATGAGGATAGAAGTTTTGAACTACGTGATCAATTTGGCAACGTATTTGATCTTCTTGCTTATTAGAACAAACAATTCCATAAACGGTGCAATCATCACCAACCCCAACAAGTAAACGACCACCTATAATAATAACGTCGTAACCTTTTAGCTGACTAAAAATTATCAAAAAAAACAATCTTAAGAAATTATTATGGGGATTGTACCTTCACTGTTTAGAAATGCACAAACATATTTTCTAAAATGATTTATAAACGTATTGGCCATATAGTTGCCGGAGCCTCTTTTGTATTCTGTTACACGATCTTCAGTATTCAACCTTTGTCCGATAAAAAATTCTTTTTTTTTACAGCTGCTGCAGGTATTTTGGTGAACAGTATGCAGTTTTTTTTCAAAGATTATCGGAAATGAAATACTACGTTTAAGTACATGACTCGTATCAAACATTAGTCTTGCATACTTGAAGTCTAAGTTACATTTTCTAGCTTGAAATACAAAACTCATTTTCTTTTCGAAAAAAGAATTTTGAAAAAATATATTTATTCCCCATCAAACAAAAAAGTTGAAATACTTGATGCTGAGTACTTAATTTACCTGCTTGAAGAGAGTTAAAATATATAATACCACGAGTGACGTCAAATAGGTTTATAACGAAGCAAATTTATTTAAAACGTTTTAACTATTACAAACATTAAATTTTTATTAAATTTACGATATTCTGACGTTTACCAAAAAAGTTGTTTCGATCTTGGTTGCCTGAAAAAATTTGCAGTTAAAAAACAAAAGCAACTGTTAAATTAGAAACCAATAAAAAGACGCTTATGCTTTTTCTTGGTTTCATTTTTTTAATGAATAAATTATTATCTACCATTTCAACTGTAACAGTAATATAACGATATAACTGATAATAAGTTTAGGCGAATTTTTTAATTAGCATATTAAAGTTTATTAGTTATTACAAATTTTAGATATTTTTTATGTCATCTTTTTTGTGTTGATAACTCCAATAAGATAGATTTATTGTCAATTTTAGACACTTTTTTATTTATACTTTTATCTAACTCTGCTAATATTTTTAAAAATACATTATGTTTCTCTAAAGCATTAGTGGTTCAGTAGAGTTCTATTAAAATGGTTAATTGTGTTTGTATTTACCAGGCCGTAGGAACAAAATTTATATTGGGTGAAGGAGGCAATACTACTGGGTAGGTCAAATAGTAGTAGGTCAAAAATATTTTGTCAAAGATACTTACACCAAAAATACGAATAACAAATTAGGTCTTTTCTATCCTATTTTTTTTTTTTTTTATATCTTAATTTGAAATCGCTTGCTTTTTTCTAAAAACTAACTTTAGAATTATTTATTTTAAAAAATTATTGGGGGAACCCCGTTTGTTACGGGCCTGTTTAAAAATTTTTTGTAATAGTTCACTTGCGTCACTAGGCGGAAACAAGATTTTACTTAAATTTCTTAAAAATTTTTCCAATTTTAACTTTTTAAATATTTTCTTAGGGAATTATGGTAGTAGTTCCTTATTTTAAAAAAGATATTAAACTTTTTTTCAATTTTTTTTTAGGAGGAATTTTAAGGTAAAAAAATCATGTTTTTGATAAATTTTTGAATTGCTAATGACAAAAATTAAACTTTTGCAGTATACTTATATATTATCAACATTGAATCTATTAAATCAATTAAAAACCAAAAACAAAGTCAAAGTTTTTTTTTCATAATAGTTTTTCTTGTTTAATTCAATTTGCAAAAATGAATTGATTGAATGTTACTACAGAGGTTGCCAGTTTTTTATTGGATACAAATTTAATGCAACAAATCGACTTTTTGTAAGTAAAAAGTTATTTAACTACCTCTGTAGTAAGATACTGCAATTTATTTTTCAGGTGTGAACTGTATAGAAAACATTTTTACGGGTGTGAACTGTATAGATAACATTAAACTGTATAGAGAATCGACTCAGATTATTTTCCTAAATCCTTTTTTATTTAAAGTTATAAAAAAACAAAACAATATAATTAATAACTATGCTTAAATGCCCAATAAAAAATCTCTCAGTTTACAACTCTTTAACGGTAAACTATATTCATCCGGAAAAGAAGAAAAAAAAATCCGGTTTTTTAAATGATTAATTTTTTTATCTACAAAAATTCATATATGACGTCCTGTGTAAAATTAATTTCAAAATATTTAATGGTTCTCGGATTATTAACCTATTTTCTTTTTTAGTAGCATTGCGACGCTTAGTGCAGGGTTACGAAAAGTATCAATTCGAAAAGCCAAGAACGCGTTAATATTCCGATTGTTTCTTCAAATGAAATTAGTAGACTTTAACCTTAATGAAACTTTAAACTTTTGGTCACAAATCAGTTAAACCAAGTTTAACCGTAGAATAAAGTCTTTTTATGACACTTTCTACAACTATGGATTTTAGTGTATCGAATGGTAATGAACAAAGTGGAAAGATAATTATTAACACTCAATCATTTTTTGCAATGACTTTGTTCATATTTATGACAACGTTAGGGCTTATTGAAGACATTTGATTTATCAAAAATCCTAAGGTCAAAAATACAGAAGATATGAAAGTTTTAATGGTCTTTTTGAATGAAGTAAATTATGAGTTTTCAAAATGTATATGTTTCTGAATGCATCGAGGACACTTAAAATGATTAGATTAAATGCGGTTATTTATTTAAAAACTTTCAGTTTTCATTCAAAGAAATCAAAGAATTCTTCGAATACACTGATTTGAATATCCCTATTAAATATATCATAAAAGCAAAAATGTTTTCTCGTTGAAAAGTTTCAAAAAATTCCATAATTTTACAAACAACTTTAGTGAGATTTGTAGTCATATAGATATATAACAAAAACGAAAAAACAAAAAGCATATACTAAAAAACTTGAAGTTTTTTGGTATAAAGCTATCATAGTTTTTGTATATCAGACCAATATTAGCCAATATCCGAATGATTAGAGGTTAATTAGAATAGATTAAAGGTTTATTAATGATTAAATATTAAATAGTATTTTTACAAAAATATTAAAAAACAAAAAAAAAAACCAGCTCAATAAAAAAATGGTTTTAATATATTAAAACAATAAATACTAATGTATGTTATATATCTTATATATTTAACATTTGCATCGTAAAAGCTATAAATGTCATAAAAAATTCTTCTTCATTTAATAACTTCATTATATATTTGAATAAATATTGCGACTTAAATATTGTGATTTAAAGACCAATAAATATTAAAAACAAAACGCTGAGTCGTTTTATGAACCAAAGTCAAAAGCAATCGCTCATCGAGTTAAAACAAAGAAGAAAAAAAATTTCAAGTTTTAGATTTTTAACTATTTTAGACTAATGACAGAATTTTCAGTATCCGCATTAACAATCAAAATATTTTTTTACATAAAAAAAGATACGTATATTAGAGATCGTGAATCACAATATGCTATAAAGAACGTAACCCAAAAGTAATACCCCATCCTAACCCAACAAAAAGAATTTAATAATCTGCAAAAATGCAAAAGCTGTCATGTTCACATCTTATCGTTAAGCGTAACAAAGTTAAAATTTTTGACCAACGCTCATTTTTGTTAAGCTTAACAGAGAGTTGTGAATATGATCTCAGATGTTAGGCGTTTAAACCGAATAAAGTTTTGAATAATAATAATAATAAAAAAAAAAAAAAATTTGGATTTTCAATAAATGGCTTCACCTAAATATCATATTCAAAAATGGAATCAACGGTGTGTATATATATATATATATATATATATATATATATATATATATATATATATATATATATATATATATATATATAGACACACACACACACACACACACACACACACACACACACACACACACACTTAAATATTAAATACTTAAATAATTGATTTTAAAAATATTTTTTTCTTTTTTTCAATGCGAACTCACTAAGTAACTCCAATGGTGCGACTTGCGACCATACTAAATAATAGATAATTAAAATACATAAAAATTACAGTTAACATATTCATAATTAAATTAATTATTTTATTGTTTCAGAATGTATGAATATATATATATGAATATATAAATTGCTACTAAAAATTTAATATTTTGTTTTAAATTTTTATTCTGAAAATTTCTCATTCAGAATTTAAGGAAGAAAAAAATACATAGACTAAGCATAAAATTTACATCAAACCTTTGTTAAGTTCTATTTACATGGAATGTATAGCGATGGAAAAGATAATAAAACACCATTGTAATAACGTATACAATAATGATATAGTACGTTAAAATAATAAAAAAAAACACAAAAAAAAACACAAAAATGAAACCTATAAATAAATACACCGTTGTCGTATATAACAATGGTATAGTATGTAAAAAAAAAATGATTGAAATGAAACCTAATCACTACCCACTGATGAACACATCAATTTTTTTTTTAATACTTGGCGCTTCCCTTTTAAGCATATTTCTTTATTTTCCGGGAAATTATACTTATGGACAAAAAAAAAAAATTAAATAAATTTTAAATCACGTATACAAAAAGCTTCTTATAAACCAAATCAACTTTTTATAGGCATATCCGAGCTAAGAATTAAGAAAAGCACTCAAGATTCAAAAAGGAAGCGGTAAAACTACCTTTAATCTCTAAAGAAGAGGCAAAAATACTCTATCACATGGTATAGAGTTTGCAAAAAACTTAAATTGTAATCACAAAAAACCATATGGGGAGTATGAAGAAGCTTATTTTATGCTATAAACAAAAAATTGACCAAACATAACACATATACTACAGTTTGTAGCTCATCCAAAAGATGGTCATTACAAAATTAAAATTTTATTATTATTTATTCAGTAGCTACTATATTAGCTGATTCGTTCGAGTCATTACCACATAAAGTGGTTATAACTGGACTTTTTCAAACGACTCAACTTAAATTATTAAACTAATAACTTGGACTAATGATGTCAAGCATTACAACAAAGCAAAACATGACCTAAAAGTTCTTGTTTGAATCCACATTACATAAATTCATAGACCAGGTGGAATAGATATCAACCACAAGGTATCACACAAGTGTATAATCAAGAATCAATCCCATTCATTTAGCAACATCACAATAATGGTAATAATGTGATTTGGGATAATTTGGTCTCATCATGCTATGCTAAATCAGTCACAAAAAAGCTAAAGCACATAATATACCACTGGTACCAGAAAACAAATTCCTAGAAGATTGCCCTAATGATGATTTTCAGACAATTTTTTAAAAAGAAATGTATATGAATGGCTGAACTGCTGTTGTTTACTAACTAGAAACCAAGATAAGCTATTTTGTAAAAAAAATATGTCAGGCTTATACAAAGTTAGCAACAATACTTAAAAAAATTGACCAAATACTCTGTTATGGAAGTAAATAAAATCAAAACAAAATCTAGCAGTCTAAATGTTTGTTTTTAACCAAGCATAAGAGACGAGTGGTGCAGTTGAGTTTGTTCGAGTACTTTTATGTCTTTTTTTAAATACAGTGACCATTTAAAATGAGGTCTGGTTAAAACTGTTTATATTTTTTATTTATTTACTTGAAATTCATGCTATATTTTGTTATACAATGCACTGAGTTGGCAGTGACTGGATCTGAACTTGTATCACACAACAGTCAGAGATATAACAACTCGTTTTACGCTCTAATCAGCCACTAAGTAAGTTTATAAGTGTATCTATTTTTAAATGAAATTAAAACAGTATGTCTGAATTAAAAAGGAAAAAAAAAGTGCAAAAAAAGAACATGGAGATAAAATAAATGTTTGTTGGAGTACAGTTTTTTAAAAGAAAAGAATTAGCTTTTTTTGCAGGTATTGATTGTTAAAACTGTTCTACTCATTTGTATTTATCCTATATATATGATATATAACCTTCAGTTCACATTAAACATCTGGAATACAACCTCATAAAAGGTTTAATTTTTAAAAAACTAAGGCAAGTATAAATACATAATATTAAAATGGTATACAAATCTATTTACTTGATTTTTAGATCATTCTAAACAGAATTCACACAAAAAAGTGATTCTAAACATTTATATTACTTTTAAAGCATCAACTTTAAGATTTATAAACACATAGACTTATGATTAGTTTGTTTTAGTAATGTTTTATACCTGAATATCTGTGAGTTCTTTAAAAAGTCTTTGAGACAAAGGAAAACCATTTGGTGTATCAACTCGAACAAACTATAAGAAAAAATAGCAATGAAAAATATAACAATGTAGAAAACTACTACTACTACTACTACTACTACTACTACTACTACTACTACTACTATACTACTACTACTACTACTACTACTACTACTACTACTACTACTACTACTACTACTACTAACTTATACAGAGTAAAACTTTAAACACGGATAATCTCTCATATTAAATTCTATATTCTAGATCATAAAGGCGTATTAGAGTGCACAATCTAATTTAAAAGTATTGTCCATAATTGAAAACCATTTAATATATTAAGTTGTCTAGTTTTTTTTGTGGACCATCTTAAATATGTAGTGTTTTATTTTAATATTTTTAAATTAAATATTTAAGTTTAAATGTTTAATTATTATTAGTCGGTATTATAAAAGAAATATTGTACAAACCTCATTGTTATATAAGATCTTTTCTATGGGCAAAACCACACATGCAGTGCCTGCTCCTAAAACCTCTTTAATCTAAAATTGAGGAAATATTAAAAATGATTATCAATATAGACAATAAAAAAATGATAATAATGACCATAAGTCATTTTGCTATAACCTAAAATGACTTATGGTCATTATCAATATATATTATTGCTTAACTTAATACTGCTCATTCATGTGCGTTTACAGAGTTTTATTACAAATAAGATTTAGCATGCACTTTCTTTTTATATTTTTAACCAGAAGATATATAGTTTTTTAATATCTATAATTTTTTTAATATTTATAATTTTAAGTAAATTTTGTTGAAAAGATATATATTCTGTTACTTATTCATTAACAATTTGTATTTTGTTAATTTAAACATTTTTTTGTTTAAAGATATATATATATACTCTGTTCTTTTTTGTTACCAATTTATGCTTTTGATGATAAATAAATTTTGTTAAAAACAGGCTTCCTTTTTACTAATAGCTCCTCCCTATTTAAGCATTTAAGAGTTTTGATTTCCACCATTAAATATCTTGAACTTAAATTTTTTTTTATCTTTAAAGGTCAGTATACAAAGCGTTATAACATAAGTTTTAGTAACTTTCATTAAATTTTTTGTATAAAGAATGTTTTTTTCATATTATTATTTTAATGTTTTATATATATATATATATATATATATATATATATATATATATATATATATATATATATATATATATATATATATATATATATATATATATATATATATATATATATGGGGTCGTCCATAAAGTACGTACGCTCATAGGGGGGAGGGGGTCTTCAAAAAGCGTACAAAAGCGTATGGGGAGGAGGGGGGAGGGGTTGAATATAAAAGTACGTACGCACTAATTAAAAAAAGTAATTTTTCTTAGTTAATGCTTGTATTTCTAACTTATCACCACTAACAAATACTTAACTATAACTAGATGTTTTTTAATAAATAACTAGATATTTTTGAATATAATAATAAATAAATAATTTTTTTAAAATAATAAAACCATGACCGTGACTTTGAAATGTCAGTTGGGGAGGGAGGGAAGTATACTTGCCCTTAAAAAAAATCTAATTACAATTTTTTTTTGGAAACTTTAAAGTTCTTTTTACTAAAGGAACCTTAAAATTAGTAAAAGAAGTTTAAATTTAACAATAAAAACGTAATAAGTTTTAATGGGCTTGGTAAAAATGTTGTGGGTTTTTAGTATAATAATCCACAATATTTAACCCAAATAAACGGGCAGGCACGTTTATTTGGCACCTCATAGTTATTGTTTGATGTGTTTTATAAATGTAACAACTCACATACTTGGTTACGTTTATTAGTTATTTAGGAATAGAAAGTTTTAATGATTTGCTTGCGATGGTCAAAACAATTGTTTTTATCTCCAGCCTGGAAACTTTCTTTCAAAATTTTAATGTCACAGTTTTTTACATACCTTCCACCTATGTTGTTGTATCACAATTAAAGTAGGAGAATAACTACCGCGAGGAAAACACTTTTGTGCTCAATCTTATATAAATACAAAAATTCTTTGAGTATGAGAACATAGTTATTATTTCTTGTTTATAAAAAATGTCACATAACAAAATTGCATCATCTTATATAGGGTAATTTTTTTGATAAATATAATAAACTAAGAAGCTTGAGAAAACTGGAAATTATAAATTTTTGAAAAGTATTTCAGCTAAAAAAATGCAAGCAATCAATTTAGTACTTGAAAATTTTCAACTCTGAACATCAAGGTGACAGAGAAGTGTATTACTTTTCAATCATTTAGAAGATCATTAACAAAAAATAAAACAAAAAAGTCTTGTTGAAAGATTTGTGTAGTTGATCTTTAAGCGCTTTTGCTGGCAAACAGGAAACCTTTAAAATCAACAAACTGGCAAGAATGTTTGTTTGGTACCTTTAAAGATTAGGTTGAGGTTAAGGGCAGGGTGATAAAATTTTTTTAAGTAATTACAATTTAAAACAAAAACTTTTTTTTTATCTTTATAGGTTTCAAAACATCGTTTTAATATTTTATAAACAAAATTATTAATATAGTCTTCAATAATCAATTAATTTAAATTGTTGGTGATCTAAATCAAAGGGTGATTTCACCGAATCAAATATGTTTTCGATGACATGAATTTGATCAGAATTACTTTCATTTACTGTTAAATGAGTATCATTGTTTTCATCGTCATTTTTATTTTCCTCAGAGGTCATGTTGATTATGTTTCTAAACACGCATTTGTGACGTTCAACACTTGCTTTAGAAGCGTGATAAATTTTGCAGGATTTGCAAGTTCTTTGATCAATTTTTTGTTGTGAAATTGATGGGCAGTACAAATCAAAGGAAGCTTCCATCGAAATTTTTGAACCTATATATCCCAAGCGCTCCCCTAGAGAAGAAAAGTAAGGTTTAGGAATATTTTGTGCTACCTTTGGCTCAGGAATAAAAATTCCTTCAGCAGCATGAGACATTACAACTGGATCTGGTAAAAAACATTGTGGAAAATATTTTTTCCAGCAACTTCGCCAAGATTTACAGCAATTCGGAACATCACACCCAACGATCATTAAAAAATATTGACTTTGTCTTACGTGATTTTCAATCCATTTTGAATCTTGCTCTGGTATTGGTGACAGTTGGAAAGGTTCAACATATTCAGCACAAACAGAATAGTTATCAATTACTATATCCGACCATACCTCAGCTAGAGTTTCTGCAGCTTTAGCAAAAATTTTTTTTTCTAAATCAACGTCAATTGTTTTTCCAGATGCATTTAGATGTGTCCCAAAATGGTCATGTGGCAAAACCAATCCTGCTAACTCTCGACTCAGCGGAGCCATATGCCGTTCAACCCTGTTATATGCTGAATAATGAGGTGCATGAGTTCCTGTTAGATAGACATCCAAATCCCATTTTATAAATCTTGCAATTGCAACTTACAATAGTTTAGGAAACTTGGATTTTCATCAGGGCCCCCATCACATGCAACAACAAATATAGGTTTTACCTGACCTTCTGGAGTACAAATATGAAGCTTCAAATTTTCAATTGAAACAAGACGCTCCGAATCACGGCCATGAGTAAAAGCAGTGCGGCTATCATGCTTCATAGATCTAATAGCAATATACGTTGGACCAGAATATGACACTGCGTCAGCAAATTTGTTTGGATCAATAATACAAGCTGCATAAACAGACGGTATAAGCTTATGTCTGGAAGTGACTAAAAAATCATGATCTGGCAAACGTACTTGATAATCAAGATGCATCAAAATTGGTGATTGTTTTGTTGCAGCTGCTAATCCTAATGGTACTTTAGCTTTGTCGTCTAGACTTAAATAAAAGCATGAATCTGAACCAAATATTGAACAAACTTCATCCATGTATTGCATGCACGCAAATGTAAACCCAACATCGATATGCTTATCACGAGCTGTATTAGCAGTCCTGATCAATTTCACAGGAACTGTCTTAATGTGACGTATTCCCTCAAGTGTGTTTGATCGCTTAGGCATCAGTCTTAAATAATTTGCAGATCGCGATAAACAATAACCCAGTTTTAGTAGGCTTTTATTTAAGTCATCAAGTGTCTTACATGAACGTAACTCCTGCGATCTTTGTCGATCGCTAGCAGCAGCTCCTATTGATGCGATGTTAACGATGGCATTAAGAAAATCTGGCTGATCTTCAATTACAGCTGGTCTACCATTTTTTTCTCTATTGAATTTAGAAAGTTTTGATTTTAAGAAGGGCGTGTCATTGACAATATCATTAAGAGTTCATTTCAAACTTGTTCTGCGTTGTCTTTGACGGATTGCTTCGCGTTTCATTTTTTTAAGACGGTTTTGTTTTATTTTTATTTGCTTTTCTAAAAAAATCGATTTTATTTTAAGTTAGTCAGTTATCAATCCTGCACGGCGCACATTTACCAATGTTAACAGCTGCTCTTTTAACTGCGAAATTTCAGTTTGAATTTTCTCTTGTTGTGGAGTATGAGATTTTTTCGGCTGATCAATTGGTACTTACTTTTGTGATTTTTGACTTTTTTGAATATCAAATTTAGAAGAAGTAGCTAGTGTTTTATTGATTTCAAAATCTATTTTGTCTGCTTCATCGGATGTTAACAAAGCTTCTGGTCCCTCATCTGATATTTCATTTGTGAGGGGAAGCTTCACTGCAATAGATTGATTATTTGATGTTTTAACATTAGACCAAAAAGACATCAACTGACTTTTACTTTCCATTGTTTTTCGTGTGAGTTCTTTTAAAACTGAATCATACGTCAATTCTTTATGCTTAACTTTATACCACAATTTATTAGCTTCTTTCTGTTGCTCCTGTTTACTTTTTTTTGGCAAAGCTTTTGCTACTTGTTGGTAAATAATTTTGTACTTTTCACTATTATTTATTTTAATAATTCCGCTTTCAAACTAATTTTTAACTGACTATTTAAAGCACAACTTAAATTTACAAGCAACAATAAATGCAAACAGGGGTTGTTTGTTTAGTTTTTAAATAATTTATAGTATCTTATTTTTATTATAAAATATTTTTTACAAAATAAAGTTTAAAAAATTATAAAAAATACTATTTACATAACAATTTCAAAAATTAATATTTAAAGTTTAACAATACTTTAAAACTTTAGCTTTTAAACTTGTTACCCTTAGTAAGACTGTTGTCGCGCTAATTAATTAAAAATTGAAATATGAAGAAATTCGAAAATTCTTTTTATACTTCATATTGTTTTTGAAAAGTATTGATTTAATGAAATGGAAAGTTTTGAAATATAAAGAATATCACCACTTTTTGATGACTTCTTATTTTTACTCATGCCCGGTGTACTTTAATGACGATCCCTAATATTTAAATTTCTTAAATAATGTAATCCCCTAATCTTTTCTTAAAGAGAAAAGAAAAGATTAGGGGGGGAGGGGGGAGGGGAAGTACTTCAAAAGCGTACGTACTTTTCAAAGGGGGGAGAGGACTAAAAAGTACGCATGGCAACTGAGGGGAGGGGGCAATTTTTTGAAATTTTTGGCGTACGTACTTTATGGATGACCCCTATATATATATATATATATATATATATATATATATATATATATATATATATATATATATATATATATATATATATATATATATATATATATATATATATATATATATATTTATATATATATATATATATATATATATATATATATATATATATATATATATATATATATATATATATATATAAATATATACACACACATTTTAATTTTTCTGCATTACATTATTGACCTTTTTTCTTTAGAATATTAAATATATAAAAAAAATTAATATAGTTAAAGAAGTTTTAATATTTCCAAGTTTCTTCACTTAAAGCAAATATATGATTGTTTATAGAGGTTTTCTATTATTAGTTTTGTATTTACTTATTTATTGCAAATCTTACATTAAGTGCATTTCAAAGTAATGAATAGGATTTTATGATGGAGGATTACATTTCACCATTTAATGCTAGCATTACTCGCTTAACAGACAGGCCTTTTAATTTTTTCAATTTGCTTTGTTTATGAGTTTTTATATGTAAAAATTTTATAATTCTTTTAATTACTTTTTATTGCTTTTTTGACTAAATACAAATAATATTTTGCCAATAATAATAAATACCTTAAATATATAACACTACGTAGATAAAAAGATTATATGAATTTATTTATAACTTTAGTTTAAGTTCTTAATAGAAATATGTTATATTTATACATTGCTATATTATTTTAAAACATCTAATTTAAATGACTAATAGTAGAGGTAGAATATAATTAAATTATTATATTATGAGAACTAAATAGGTATATTATGCATCGCATAGCAAGAAATAATTTTGCTAGAGAGTAATTACCTCAAACAATTAAACCATATTTGTCAGTATTGTAGTGCAGGAAGCCATGTTGATCATGCTGTCAATCAAAAAATTTTTAAACACATAAAGAGTTATAATTCCTCTTTATCTTAGCTCCTCCCTCATAAAATGGCCCTTTCTGTTTTAGGGTCTGTGGGCAAATTTTGCATCGTGTTGGAAATTTAAGGCCTGCAGAAGGTGTTCTGCCCAAATATTGTCAGTTATATATCTATAATCCTAATGCAGCAGTGTCATTCAGAATGGAGCAACCTGGTAATGATGGTTGTATACATGAGTTAATGTAACTCTTGCAAACTTTAATTAATCAAGAAAACCCATTTGCTCTTACATTTAAAAACATGGCAGAATAAGAGGATGAAAAAATCCGCTGAGCAGCTTTAGAAGGTAGACCAACTTCTGTTGTAAGCATGTCTTTGCTTGAAGGTCAATACAATTGTAAGAATGTCATTGATAGATGTCGATACAATCTTCCTTCCCATGGCACAATCAACTGAAGCACAACCCTGACCATGCAACTTGTGTCAGAAAGCATGTTACTTTGTCTCAGTATTATAATTATAGGCTTGCTGTTAGACAAACTTTTAGTCCTATATTCTATGGTTAAAAAATTTTTCAGCAATATATCATTGATGCATATGTCAAAGTTGAGGGACAGCGCCTTGCTTTTATTAGAAATAACCAGAACAAACTTAGAAGTGAATTTAAATTTAAAACTAACTACTTATTTATTCATGTGCTTCAAAATGTACCTGCTGCAAAATGTGTTAAAACATCAGTAAACATCACTACACAATATCACAACAAAATCCTGTATTTTGTAACATGTGAAATGTGGTATTAAGAAATTAAAAAACAAAAAACAAAAAAATTTATTAATTTAATACTGACCCTCCCTTCATTTGCAGCTTTAATCATTTGTTGAATTGTGAAAGATTTTTCAGAAACTTTAAATTCATTCTAGAAATGAAAGAAAATTTAAATAAGATATATGTTAAAACTCTATCGAAGTCGATAAATAGAGTAAAGAAATTAAGCTTTAAGCTGCTAAAATGTAATAAAGAATTTGCAAGAAATAGATGCAATGAAATAAATATACACTTTTGCTTTGCAATATTTGATATTTAAATTTACATTATTTTCTCCAATAAAGATTTATTTTGAGAAAAAAAAGAAAGATAAAGAATCAGAAAAATTGATAATTTATAAAATTAAATATGCATAGTATTTACTTAGTTTCAAAAATAATAAAATAATAAAAACAAACCCATTCTCGTGCAAGCTCTAAAAGGGATTTTCTTGTCACACCAGGTAAAATAAGACCATTTAATGCTGGAGTAATCAGTTCTTCCTCTATAATGAAATTGTATAATAAACACACAATAAGGATATATTTAATTATTTTATACCAAACTAAAAAAACCATAAAGTACTCAATGAGAAAGAAGCTTTAACTATTTTTTAATACATGTTTACATGTTTCAGTCCACTGAACCAAGCAACCACTTATTTAAAATATCACAAAAATAAGATACTGATATAAATATATAACTAACTTCATTTTATTATACAAGTAATATATTCCTAATAATATTTTTTCTTATATATTTACTTCTTTTTAAATAGCAAAATAAAAGATTACTTTGGATTTGCAGACTTTTTTATGAATAAAAATTGCTTAATGATTTGCTCAATAGAGTTTTTGACACCATAAAGTTTTTCTTTATTTGCTTTAAAGATTTTAATATTTAAAAAACAAAGCAACCTACCTCCTTGTTCATTAATCCAGTGCATAAAAATATTCATTGTACCAACCTCAGTCACCTGTTTTTTAAAATTTTAAAAACTTATTAATACATTAATTTATGGTAAATAAAATATTTTATAAAATAAAAAAAAAAAGAAGACTATTTTCAGCTTATAGTTTGATTATTTTTATTTTCTTTTCAGCACATTTTTAAAACAAGCAAATTATTAAAACATGCAGAAAGCCATGACCAAGTTGTCAAAACAAAATATTATAAGCGTAGTCATATAAGGCTTACGCGCACAAATAATATATATATATATATATATATATATATATATATATATATATATACACTATATATATATACTATACATATATATATATATATATATTATATACATATATATATTATATACACACACACATATATATATGTGTGTGCGTGTGTATAGAATAGGCCCTGAAATATAAATATTAGGGCCTATTCTAGGAAAAATTTGGACAGCAGTACCCCCTCATTCCGGCGAACTTTATCTAAAATCAGCAGATTTTTTGCAATAATAACAATATTTGCCGTAGAAAAACGTGAAAAAAAAAAAAGATCCTCAAATTTTAATTTGGGTCAAAATAGGCACCCAAATACAGTTGACGCTGTCAAAAACGGTCTAGAATAGCCCCTGTATATATATATATATATATATATATATATATATATATATATATATATATATATATATATATCAGGGATGTACACTCGTGGTCGCCCGATGGCACCAGGCAATCAAGTCGCCCGAAAGGGCGACTTGATTTTTATCGACAGTTCTATTTTTTTGTGTGTGTAATTTAAGAGATTTAAAATATGCAAAGTAACTAATGCAATAAGTAACTAAAATAATAATAAAACTCTATTTTAAAAGTCATAATGCTAAAGTTTGTTTACCGCATTTTCTATTGTTAATTAGAAAATACAATTAAAATAAAAACAAAAAGGTTTTATCGTTTAAACATTCTTTTTTTTTTATTTAATTAAATTTTAGAGATATGTATTAAAATTTAGAGATATATATAATTCTACATATACTGAAAAAAAAAAAAAAAAAAATTTAAAGAAATGACTAATGATTGCGTCTGAAAAGGCATTTTAATTAGTACTTTAAAAACTAGTTACTTCTGATCATTAGAAATTTAGTTCAATTTACACCATAAAAATTACATTTTAAATTACAAATAAATTCTAATTCTGCAATTATTGCGAGACCAGACAGTCTCCAATTATTTAAAAACAATTTATTTAACCATCAAACGTATATTATTTTAAACTCTAAAATCGGTTTAAATAGAGTAGATATTTATTTCAGTTCCAATCATTTTGTTTACAATTAAGTTGATTATTAAGTTGAATCTAGAAGACGAAGGAATTAGTACATATAGAAGATGAAATATCTTAACTATTTGGCGATAGTGACAACAATAACGATGAATGCAATTTTGAAGGTTTCCTAAGTGAAGAAGAGCCAGACCACTACAATAATGAACTAATAGTACATGCAAAAAATATAGCGCCTCTAATGGTAGGTTTAATTACGGATGGCGCTAATGTTTTAACTGGACGGAGACATAGTGTTCAGCAACAGCTAGTAGGTGCAACAATTTTCTCACATACACACATTGTTTGTCGCACCAATTGCAGCTGGCACTGAAAGATGCAGCCAGCACTTCGAAGGAACTCCAAATTCTGCAGCTGTTTTTTTGAGCAACTCTTCATTTTTTATCGAAATTCTACTGTTATATCAACGGTTTATTGTATTGCAAGCAAAGTTTATGGTGTAAAAGGTATTTTAAGAATTGAGTCTTGTTATATTGATAATATCTTAACGTATTTTTACTTATTATTTTTAGGTAGTTAACAATCAAAATTTATATTAATTTAATTAGGGAATTTTATATTTATTTACTTTAGTATTTTAATTTTTAGGCCAAATGCAGTGTTATACGAGTTAATGGTACCAGATGGCACATATATGCAGTGTTATACGAGTGCAATAATGTAAAATAATAACGAGTGTTATAATAATGCAGTGTTATACGAGTTAATGGCACCAGATTGCGCATATGGTAATTGCGTTGGAGAATCTTCTCAATGGTCTAAAAGCGCATATTCATAGTTATACCACTATCAGCTTGGAAAACGACTACAGCGCTACACAGAAATCAAAGGCTTCTTTGCAAAAAAATTGGTTGATTAGCACTCAATGTTGACGGCGATCTATATTCTTGATGTGTGAAGAGCAATGACAATTTTTTCAGAGGCAGTAGTAAAGTTTTTTCAGAGTATTAATTCACCACAAACAAAAGTTATAAGCTTTATAAATAAACAACAAAAAAAGTATATATAATTAGGTAATATGTGAGTTTATTGTAATATATACTAATATTATTGTTATTAAACCTTTTAGAAGTATAAACTTTGCGATAATTAACATTCAATAATCAAAGTAAAATGTTTACAAAAGATAAAAACTTCGTTATAAATAGATTTTGTCGCGCTCTTTTTTGAACTATTTAATTAGAAGTCTATTAAAATTTTCTTGAAAGAACAAATTCATTCGAATTTTATAATTATATTTTGTTGCTCTCATACTTAGAGTTTTTTCAGAATTAGAAACTTTTTCTAAATTAATATTTCCTAAACGTTTATTGATTAAAATTTAATTTTTCAAAATAAAATATAAAAATTAATATTATTTGTATATTGATAAAATACATAATTTGTCTCTGTAAATTATATATTGAATTAACTACTAAATTCAAATATTTAATTACATATATAACTTAACTATATAGTATTTAATAAAAATACACTATTGCTTTTCAAATTAAAACGTTAATGTAACAAATAATAAATTGTTTACTTAGAAATTTAAGAATATACCAATAATAATATTGTTTATGTTTTTATTACGTATGAAGTTAAGTCTTCGCTTAAGCATGCCTTTTGCAATTTAGAAAGATTCGAAGAAAATCCAGACTCTGGTTTTTACTGGAAGAAGCGCTCAATATATGGGATTGTAAATTTGCATGAACTGATAAAATATGAAGATCGAGTTTTTATTGCTACATCCATGCAAAAGTGCATTTTGAAACGATGTTCAAATGTAAGATGCTCGATGCTCAAATGTTTCAGATGTCTTTGCGGAGGCGGACGAGTTGCTTAACACAGTTGAATGGACGGAGAGCAACTTTTTTACGGCTGAAAACAACAAAAAGTTACATAAAAACATGTTAGACAATAACATAAAAGCCCTTAGTAACGACGATATGCTTTGCAACAACTCGAATATAAACGAGTAGATGTTGGAAATATTTTATCAGAGTGGATAATATTGAAGAAAATAATGGCAACTTGGACAAGTGCAAGTTCAAAATCATTTCCACCGCTATCTTGGTCACAAATAGCGACTAATTTCAAACCAGATATATTCGCTAATCTTTTTTCTCTGATTGATTTTTTATTTTGCTATAGCTTAAGTTCAGCAGACGCGCAAAAAGGCTTTGGCGCAATAAAAAAAATTAAATCAGTTCAAAGAACACAAGTCAGTAACAAGTTATTAACAATGCGATTGCGCATCAAGATTGATGGTCCAGAAATGGAATTATACGATCCAACAAAAGCCATTAAACACTGGCTTTTAAAGCCATCACGAAAAAATAAAACTAGCATCAATCAAAAAAGCTTTACATGGACAACAAAACTCCAGTTGTGTCAGTTAAAAAGTCAAAGAAAATACAGATTTTTGCTAGTAGCGATGATGATAGTGATAGAGCTGTAACAATTGATGACGATATATAATAATTTTGAATCTTGAATGTTTTTTACCTTTCAAAATAAAAATAGTTTTTCTTGTAACAAATAAGATCGTAATAATTACAACACATTAAAAGCAAAGGGTTTTAAAGTATTTGTAAATTGTTTTTTATATTTGTCAAGAGTTTTTTGTTGTAATCAAACGTCTATTTTTTTATAAAATGAGCGCTCAAATAAAGTTTAAAAATATAATGGCATGTGTTTTTTTTTTGAAATTAGAAAAGTGAATTTTATCAATAGTTTTCAATATTACTTTTATTTGCGGATATTGTTTCTAGTGTACATTTAGCCATATGACTAAAACATGCGAGAACTTCGCTAAGTGGAAATTTTAAAAAAAAAATGGCAACGAGCGACTCAAAACGTCAACGGGCGAACAAAATTAACAAACTGGTTAGTTTCAGTCGCCCTTCTGGCGACTGACCAAAAGTCGGAGTGTACACCCCTGTATATATATATATATATATAGCCTGCTGCCGGGTTCTTAAGTATGCACATTGATTATCTTATAGCCTACTGCCGCTACATTGACTGAGGGTTTGACATTAGTCAGCGATCTTTTTTTCCAATATTCATCATTTTTTCTTTATTTTCTGAAAAAGCTGTATGCTATAAAAATAAGCAAAATTTTCTGCTGATTCTGAATTCCAGATACGATCCGGGTAGTTAGGTTACATAATTACATTTGAAAAATTTTAATAAAATATTAATTGTAGAAGTTGCCTTGCCTTTGTTTATAGATCTCTAGAAGCCTAAAAATTCTTAACCCTACCCTTGACTCTAACCCTAGAATTGCCTAGAAAAGTTTTAAACTTATTCAAAGTTATTAAAAATTATTTGTTTTGATTTTAATGATTTATATTTTATAATAAAAATCAAAAATTGTCAATCGTGAATAATATTGAGTAATGATTTTGACCTTATGTTTATTAAATAGTATGTTTGTTTAATCGATAAAACCGCAGAAATGAGTAATATGTGCAACGTGGTGTTTATCTATAAATACTTGTTTAGTTTTTTTGCTTTATTTTGCAAAAAACATGTTCTTTTGATTATTTAGCCTTTTGCATATTTTTATGTTTTGCTGGCTCCAAAAAAACACATGCAGGATTTTTTCAAAAAGGCCCATATATGCGGGATTTTGCCAAATATGCTTGATTTGAAGGCCCACATTTGTATATATATTATATATATATTATATATATATATATATATATATATATATATATATATATATATATATATATATATATATATATATATATATATATATATATATATATATATATATATATATATATATTTATATATAACTGACCTTATCCAGTTAAATCAACATACTAAAGCAACAAGTTATAATTGGATTTACTTATAATTAAAAAATGGCACCATGCTGCGGCAAGCAAGTTTTATTGTGCGGTAAGCAGGTTTTATGTTTTCATTCCTAAAAATAAACAAATTTCACCGTGTTTTTATGGTAACCTAATTTCTATTTTATTGTTTTAAAATTTTTGTTTAAAGGATTTATTGTTTAAAAATATTGTTAAAAAGATTTCTTTTTTATTGTTTTAAATACATTAACGTTGAAATTTAAAAAGTATATATAATATTTAATAAGTGTTACAGAAATTGTTTAAAAAAAATTAATTAAAAAATTAAAAAATACTACTTTTTTATACCTGATGATGTCAATTAATATTGATGAAACATGTTAAAAAATTAAAAAAAAATTGTTTTTTATTTGAAATATATATATATATATATATATATATATATATATATATATATATATGTATGTATGTATGTATGTATGTATGTATGTATGTATGTATGTATGTATGTATGTATGTATGTATGTATGTATGTATGTATGTATGTATGTATGTATGTATGAATCTATGTATGTATGTGTGTATATATTTTTTATATATTTTTGTTTTAGCGTTATTACATATACAAGAATTACTTTATTTTATGTTATATAAACAAAGTTTTTGAAAGAAAACTTATATATTTTAATAATACCGCTAAATAACTGTACCATTATTTTAGTCTATTAACTATTAATTTAAAAATTGATAGATTATAAATATTTGTAAATCTTCGCTCACAAAAAAAATTTGTGCTATATGGAACACCCTGAGCCGTAGAGAAGTGATAAAAAATTATTTATAAAGTACAAGCGTTAGTACAAGAGGAAGTGTTTATTATTTTAAGTCCTTACGGTCTTATTAACTTGAAGTTCAAATTGAATGTATACAATTTTTAAGGTTTTCCATTCTATGTCAAATCTTAAAAATAAAAGCTATAATTACAACAAACATGGATTTTACAATTATGTTCTTGATTTTACAACTATGTTCAAGTGTTATTAATACTATTTTCTTCATTTTACAACTATGTTCTAAAAAAAAGCAGTTACTAAAGTTTATAATGTTAAATATTAGTTTTAACGTATTTGCAGTCCCTGAAATGAATGAATCCGGAAAACTTTTATATAGAAATAAAGTGCTTTATTTATTTATTTGTATATATAGAAAAAATATTTAACTACTTGTAAATATCTGTAGAACATACAATAAGAGCAATTTTATAAAAACTCAAACAAATTATTTATATTTAAAAACAACACGATTTTTGTTTATGAAAAAAACAATTATTCCTTCTACTTTAACAAAAATTTTATCAATAAAAAATTTTTTCCATATTTTAAAATTGAACACAACCATTTCTAATAACAATCATAGGCTAATTTAAATAATTTTATATATATATAACGACTGATATAATAAGCGATTTAAGTGACATAATGATCAATTATTTTTTCCAATATCGACTTAATCAATATTGGAAATTATTACTTATCGATGCTAATATATATGCGCTTGAAGTCCAACAGTTCAAATCAAAGATTTTTTAAAGAATTTAACTTGTGGAATAAAAAATAAAGCAAATAAATACCATTTAGCAGAATCAGTAATGGGTATAAAAACTTTTAAAAAAAGGCCGTTCTTGGATAAATAGCGATGGGCCCAAGCAGGATTCCCGGATAACCTCTGGGGCCAGCACGCCACTGGTCTTTTGATATTTTGTTTTGGCTATTTACTTATTTGTTTATTTTCACTATTTGGATTGATCTGGTTATGCCCGGTTATGCCCTAGTAACCATAATCATAAACACGCATTTATAAATGGTTTGGGTCTTAGTACCCATTTTTAGTTCAAATTTTTTTTTAATTATTTAAAAAACACAATCAAAAATTTAATAAATTTTGATTTAAAAATTTGCAATTATGTTGCGTGACAAATGTTCAAATTTTAGAACAATTTTTTAAATTTGATTTTGTTACTTGTGGTTCTTTATTTTTTAATTTTTTTAATGAAAAGTTGCACTTTTATATAAAAATTTTCTTCAATTATTCACACACATACAACACAAAGTAAAAAAAGGTGTTTGAAACTGGCAAACTAATTGTGCAAAAAGTCTATATACTTAAAAAAAGATTGTTTACATAAGATAGCATTTCATATATAATTGATAATAGAAAATTTAAATTCATTATTTTCTTTTTTTGTAAAAAATTTATATTTTTTTATCTTGCCTTTGATCAGTATTTGGTCTGACAATTCAATGGGTTGAAGTCTTTATTAAAGAAAAAAATCAGCAATTTTATGGCTTCCTAAATGAGATGGTTAACACACGATAAGTTTAAAATTTTGAAGGAAGTTTTGATTGCTTAATGAGCAGCAATCAAGTGAATTGGCTGTCATGGTGTGTTACCATACTCAGTGGCTCACACAAGTTATAGCAATTAGAGACAGCAATTTGCTTAGAGAACTAGCATAAAAAATTACAGCGATTTGTTTAAAGAACCTGGATAAAAATAATCATAATTATCATAAAAAGTTCATAAAATGACTTAACTGTAACTTTCCTTTATTGTTAAAATATAATTTTTAATTTGACTTTCTTTGCAATTAAAAATTTACTCATATTGAATTTCTTATTCAAATCTTCTTCATTTATTATATATAAGTAGCATTATGTTTCAACAATATATCAATCTGAATATGAACTACAGTATGTTCAAGATAATTAATTCTCAAAGGTGTTACGCCAATAGTTTTTTTCACAGTTTTTTGGACTTCAAATCAAATACAGCTAGTTGTTATTTGTTAAGTAAAAAATTTTCACTGTCATAAGTAAAAAACTTTTTTGCCTAAAAGATGAAAAGTTTGAAAAATAAATTTCTACATTTTATTTGAATTAAGTATTTAAAATAGTATTTTATTCATCGTGTACTGTCTAATGAAGTTGTAGAAGCCAACTATATGATTTTGCAGACACTTAACATTTTTACTGGAGTTCTTGTTAGTGTATTTTAACAAAAATTAAATGTCTCATTTACCAAATTCAAACTACCATAAAACTAATTACTTATTACACTTGAATTATTTGGGGGAATGGCAGACACCATATTTAAAAAATCTTATTTTCTCTTGGAAAAACTCAGTTCTAATCGAGCATAACCCTTACTTATTCTTTCAGTTTTTAGAAACAAAATTTTGAGAAATGACATGTTCTATAATTTTTAGCTTTGTTCTGATTTAAGTTGAATGTTTTTTATTTAGTAATTATCTAAAAATGCCAATTACTGCAAAAAATCATGAAGAATGTAAAAGATCTAGGTGTTTAAAGAAACGTGATTATGCATTTTTTGTCTCAATTTCTTGTGAAATGAAAATTGCAAGTATTCTTTGTGGCATTTAAACTCATTCAAGGGAGATGCTGTTGGTGCACAGCCATGCTGTCAGTGCACAGCTGATTCAAACAGTCTTTCAAAAACAGTAGGATTAATAAGACAAATGTTCAGTGAATTTACTCAAGTCAGAACAAGGGCTAAAAAATTTTAAAATGTCATCCACCCACCACTTTTTCCAATGTCACATGATTTAACAATGATTCTAAAACTGAACAATGGAACTACATCCATTTTTGGGCATTCTCAATAAAATTTTCAAAAGCTTGCTTGAAGTCTGGCCAAATGTCATGCAATGACCATCCATTAAAGATAGGGTTTCATTTTGTTATGGTAGAATACTGGACTAAGGCCTCCAGCTGAAACTTTCAAAAACTTGTATCTTTACCAATAACAATAACACCAAAAGCTCAAATGCAATCTTTCATCATATAACAGACTTTGTTCAAAAAGAACAACAATCTCTGAGTGTCTCAATAAGCAAGTAATTGAAGCAGCACACAGGGATTTCCTAAAGCATCGGCAAAGATATTATTGTTTCAGCACTCATCCAGATTATGGAAACCAACTTGTCTAGTGGGTTATTTAATAAGACAGCAAAAACATGTGAAAACAAAGTATTTACGTTGTAAGAGTTTTTTTTCTTAGAATATATGTATAACATTCATGTTAATTAAAAACCATAACTTATTTGAAGAATAAAACATAGTTGGTTAAAATGTAAAGGTCACCATCACTTTTTTTTACTGTTTTATTTAAAAATATTCAAATGTAAATATTTTTCCAAGATGTAATAGTTTAAATTTCATTCTTTGTGCAGCACTTCCTATAGGGATGAAGTAATTAACCCTAAAAGGGTTTCTTTGGAGTATAAATTCAATATTAATTACAATGGTTACATAGTGTGAGCTAAAAAAAAAATTTTTAAACTTGCCTCATCATTATATAACCAAAGACATTGTGCACATCCTTTTGATTCAGCAATACGTTGAGGATAAATGGTGGGTGCATAGTTACTACAGAAAATAACATTTTGTCAAACAAATATGTTTAACAAGTTTTTTAAAGCAATTTTTTTTTCTAAATATATAAATTTATTTATACTTTATCAAAATATTAAAATAATAACAATAATAAAATAAAGATTGTTATTTTAAAATATACTTAAAAAAAAACTAACCCTCCTGCTTTTATGTCACCTATTCCTCCAACTGTAACAATAAATATTATTCAAAACACTTACCCTCCTGCTTTTATGTCACCTATTCCTCCAGGCCATGATCTAATAAAACTAGGATCTGCAAGTAATGATATTGGCTTAAAAATACCAGTCGAGAAATATGGTCCAACCGGACCAGTTATAACAAAAAGCATAGCACTAGCAGGTGGTCTTACTCCAAGAGTTGACTAAACAGATTAAAACTTACTGTATTTTAAAAAACATTAAATTTATTGCTTTCAATTTTATACCACTTACTACTTAAAAATTTAATTCTTAAAGAAATATAAAAAATAACATTTTACTGTTACTCTATAACTCATTTAATATTTAACTATTTTACTTTTAATATACTTTTATTTAGTTATAATTATGTTATTAGTGTTCATCATCATCATCATCATCATCATCATCATCATCATCATCATCATCATCATCATCATCATCATCATCATCATCATCATCATCATCATCATCATCATCATCATCATCATCATCATCATCACCACCACCACTACCACCACCACTACCACCACCACCACCACCATTATCAATAAGAGTAGATGAAACAAGATAAAGTGTCATCCGTTTAAATAGATAAGACGAAATGAAGTGCAATTAATATTCTTTGAAATTCTTTTTTTAACCAAATATATATATATATATATATATATACATGAATAAATGTAACTTTGCTCAATAAAGATATTTACATTGTTAAAAGTTAAATTACGTCAGTTGCGTTTTTACTTCATTGTAATTAAATTTAAAATGACATTAAAAACTATTATTAGTCTTTGAAACGAAATAGCTTTAAATTGAACAATATTGTTATAAAAAAAAAACTTAAGTTTTAATGTTGATTAAAAAAAAGTCTTCTTGTATTAAAATCTTATACTTATTTAAACTTAATTTTTTTGCTATCAAACATTCATTTTATGGTTGTTTTTTAAAAATTTTTTTTTTTTTTTATAATTTATATTTAACACTTGTTTATGGTTGATTTTCTTAAAGGGATTTAAATGTACTTACAACTAAACGCATAAATTGGGTTTTCCCCTTTTTAAAAAAACATTTGCACTAACTGGTTTTGATAAAATAAATATTGTAAAGAAACGAAATTTACTACTTTTCGGCTTTTCGTTTTTTTTTATTTCCATTAAAATATTTTATTTTTATGCACAGTAAAACCTAATGTATTTTTACTATTTTTTTACTCAACTAAAAAAAAAAAAAGTGTTTTCGGTTTTATATACATTTGTTTTTAACAAATATCATTATAATTTTGAAATTTATTTAACTTATATTTATAGCTCTAGTACTAGTTTTGTTTTTAAAATAAAATAAATAAGTTGGGCTTTTAAAGAGTTTATTTACTGATCGATGATATGATGAATAAACGTCACATAAACGATATCAAATGATAATTTAAATATTCTAAAAGATTCAAGTTTTTGCGTAATGCAAAACTGCTGAACGCGTAGGCAAATCACCTTTTCGCAGGTAAAATGCGAGCTGCGTAACGATTCTTAACAAGGCCTGATATATATATATATATATATATATATATATATATATATATATATATATATATATATATATATATATATATATATATATATATATATATATATATATATATATATAAGTTATTGTTTTTGGTTCAATAAACACTTTAAAAAAAATCCATATCAATATTCAAACAATCACCTAAAAAAATCCATATATATATATATATATATATATATATATATATATATATATATATATATATATATATATATATATATATATATATATATATATATATATATATATATATATATATATATATATATATAATATTCCCAAAGTATTGTTTTCTTAATGAAATTTTTTAATTTTTTATTTTAGATGACTATTTATACTTGCGCCACTCTTTTAAAGTTGAACATTTTTACATTTTTTGAGTTTTTACGGGCATTTTCCAACAATTGGTGCAAATAGAAGTTTACAAATCCTTAACTATATAACAACGTCATTACAAGTAATGGAAGGTTTTTTATCTATACTGATTGTGCGCATTTTTATTGCTATTATTTTTGTTAACTGGTAGTATTTTAAAAACGCACAAATTTTTTATGAAATTAAAAAAACGTGGTTTATAAACACGATAGCATTAAGGCCTAATGCACAGCAATTAGAAATTTGTTTGATGCTTTTTATATTAGAGTTCACTCACTTCAAGCCCTGGCTGTTTAAAAGGAGTTTGTACAAGGTTACCTAAGTTTCCTGGCCGACCATTATTCTTGTTGACCTCCTGCCATTATGTCAGAGAGCCTCATATACCCGTAGCCGTAAATTAAACTGTTAAACTGGGGAATAAACTATTTATATCATAAAACCATAAAAGTTTAAAAAATAGTAAAGGTAAAGATAAAACTGCTTCACTTTAATATATCTTTTTGCAAAAACAAAATAAATAAGTTTTTAATTTCAAAATTATTTACATATAGACTTTTGAGAAGAGCAGAGATTATTGTGAACTTGCGGAAAAAAATCAGGCCATTAGGTGAAAATTAACAAAAATGGAGCTGTTTCACATGCCTTGAACTTCATGAAATTCAAGTTGCATTTCTCTAAAATCAGGAGGGTTTTTATTCTAAGTAATAAAATACTAAAAGAGATCAATAGAATGGCTGAATAAATTTCTCTCCAGGGAATCGCGGTTTTAGACCTGCGACTTTTTTGATTCTGCAATTTTTAAAGTAAAACATAATTTCATAAGTTTTGATACTTTAGTCTTATTATTTAAGAATAATTTATGTCATAAAGTAACAAATTATTTAAAAACAATAGTTTAAAATCAGATGTAAAATACACTCTAAACCAATATTTTTTTCTAATGACAATATTTTTAACAATATTTTTTTCTTCTCTTAAAATCAGTAGAAGTATAATAAAAATGAAACTTTTGATTTTATCTTGTCAAAAATAAATGTAATAACTATTTATCAATGTCATTTTAAACTACGGCACTGTGAATCACCTTTTTTGGTATCGAATCGAATCACGAATTAAAGCAGGTATTAGTTCGCAAATTAAATTGAATCTTGAATCAAATTAGCATTTTGAGGATGTTTTAGTTAACTTAGATTTCAAAATAGATGTTTAACTTAGATTTCAATATGCTGATTAGGCTAGTGATTTAATTCGATTTGCAAATCAAGGCCTGCTTTGAATCAAGATTTGATTCAAAACTAAAAAAGGTGATTCGCAGGGCCCTATTTTAAACCTTATTTCATCTACATTGCATTGTTTTTAATTTACGCTTTTAAGATCAACAAGACTATTGAGCCTGCTGCAGAGGTAAAATTCAAATCATGGTAAAACCATAGAGATGTTTGGTGCTGGCATTAGCATCTTTTAACCAAGATCGCAATATAAAAATGGTAAAAAATACTGTATTCAAAAACAAAGGGAGGTCCAAAAAGATGTAAAAATGTATAGAATCAAAGCTGGAACACTTCTAAAAGCAGTTTTTGCTGATAAAGACCAGCCACTAGGTCTTGAGTTGTATATTTCACCAGAACACTGGTTAATTTTTGATTTCTAAATCATAGTTTGAAAAAACTTGACTTTTTGAGTACAATAAATTCCAAAACTTTTAAAATCTTTCTATGTTGATAACAACATATTAAAACTCACAAAATTGTAAATCTATTAAGCATAGTTTAAGAAATTTATATATATAAAAAAAAAATACAGGGTAGGATATTTATTTCTTAAAACAATAATGTATTTCTTGCTTTAAGAAAAATATTTTATAATAAAAAATTCAATTTGACTGTGCTTACAGTAAAATTTATTCAAGATAATGTAGAGCGTGTGATGAGCTTGGAGAAGCTTGAGAAGCTACTTCAAATAAAGAATTGCAAAAAAAAACATTAAAAAAAGAAGAGCGGATTCAAGGAGCTAGCTATGGCAACTGCTTCCTTGCTTTCTCGTTATCGAATGGTTCTAATAAACTGAATTTTGACTTAATATCTAACTGCAAACTTTGAATCTTAAAAGTACATTGAAAAATAATTTTTTTACATATTTTCTTGAGATAATTGTCTTAAGCTGAAAATTTATATGTATATAAATATTTATTGCACATTTGCAGCGTTTAAATGCTGAATTCTAAAGCAAACTAGCTTTAGAAACAAGAGAACTAGGGGCAGTGACGGAGCCAGCATTTTTTGGTGTTTGAGATAGCTAACAGGCATGGCACAAACTTGAAATACTTGTATGTTAATACTTATGTCAAATAATGGTGCTTTTTAAAAAAATGCTATGATTGGAGGCTGGAAACAAAAAAAGGCCTAAAATTGAGAGGGGTTTAAACATATAGTTATAATTTATGAACTCTTAGAGGTATTACTATGAAACTTAAAATTTATCAATGAATATAACAACAAGTTGAGAATTTTGAAAAAATTTTTTTACTAACTTGTTGCTCTCATGTTTGAGGCATGGGGGATGAAGTTTTAGGGCTTTTTTAGTTTCCAGCCTCCAATCATCGCAATATTTTGCAAAGCATCATTATTTGAAATAAGTATAAACATACAAATGTTTCAAGTTTGCGCCATGTCTGTTAGTTATCTCAAACACCAAAAAATGCTGGATCCTTTACTAATCTGTTATTCAATGCCTACTCAATGTATTTTTTTGACATGAAGGAAGCGTAAACTTCCAAGTTAAATGCTCCTCTGTGGTGCTCCATGATGCGACAATTAAAAAAATAACTACAGAAAAAATGTGTATATATATTTTTGAATCACATTGATATGTTTTGATTTAGTTAACAGCAAAAGATTTGTTTGATCCAAAGCTCCAGTAACAGTATATAGAAAAAAACACATCATTTGATAACAAAATGATAAAAATGAGGCAAAAATTATAAAGTCTGTTGTATGACTGGAAAAAAGCCCAAAGAGCAACAAAAAATCACTTTAAAATAGCAAAAGTGTTAATTTATCTACCATAATTAGTAAAATAGGCACAACATATTTCTTAAATTAATAAGCACAGTGTTATTTTTGGTACAGCAACACATATAGAAAACATCGTTGAACAAATTAACTGGACTTGATATCAGAATCTATTGGCACCAATGCTTGGAAATTGCCCTAAATTTAGTCAAAAAGCGTAACTTTGAACAATCGGCACAAATACTTCTATCAATAAAAAATAAAAAATATAATCTTTTTTTATATAAACATGACTTCTACGCCACTCATTAGCCATTCTGCATTAAAATTGATTGTAGAAAAAAGTTATGGGATGAGATTGTTTTTAAATAAACATATATATATATATATATATATATATATATATATATATATATATATATATATATATATATATATATATATATTTATTTATTTATTATTATGTAATTGCTTTTACAAAATGTATTTAAGAAAATGTTATTTTTCAGATTAAAAAACGTCTTTTTTTAAATTTTAAAACAATTTATTTAATTAGAATATTAAAAAAATATTGTTTTCTAAGCTGCTTATTAAATTTTCTCTTTCATAAATCTAAGGAATTTCATTTCCAGCAAAATGAAGTGAAATGAAAGAAAAGTATGTATATGTGCAAAATTTCCTGCAAAATAAAAAACTTCATAATTAAACAAAATTTTTTAATAGGTGCTCTAAAATAAAATGAAAAGTTGGATACCACATAGTCCAATAACTACATAACTTAGTACAAAATTTTTTTCTATAAAAATCTAGTAAATATAAATTCAGAAACTGCAAAAGCTATATTTTCATTAACCTTATTTCAAGCACACATACTGCAATTTCATGTGAAAACATTCAGCACATGCAATCTCAGAATTTGCTGATTTTTAGATCACTCTACACTATAAATATCTCTCAAATTTGAATTTCATTCATCTAATTCATCTAAGACAAATTTCATCATCTAATTCAAAGTGGCTCTACAGATATAAATACTTTAACTTGAACCAACAAAAAACTGCCATTTTAAAAGAGGATTTTAACTCTTGTTTTTATTCTGTTGGTAATAGAAAACTAAAAATATGTACCTTTACATATTTTTTAGTAAGAAATCTAATGAAACCACTAAAAACATTTAAAAACAAACATAAAACTAAAATTTATTACCATTTTACTAGGACAGGTTGAATTGCAAAAATACCAATGTAGAATTTTTTTTTTTTTGAGAAGTTGTCCTGAATAGTTTAGTCAGAATTATTACAAAGGATCGGAGAGGGGTTATATCAAATTGGAGAGAGAATTACCCTTTTTTATTTTTTATAATTTTACTTGGGTGAATTAATACATAAAAACGTAGATAAAGCTTAATTACTTTTATTATTTTTAGAAACCTTTCGGAACTCAAGTTAACCACAAAGAATCAAGTTAATGAGTTTTTCTTTTTTTATAACATACAACTTAACAACTAAACTTAAAACAAATATAAATACAATTGATTGTGACGTTTTACATGTAGTTCTTTACAAGTTGTTTTATAAACAAAAAAAAATTTTGATTTTTATAATTAAATGAATAAAACTGCAAGATGGATAGAACTTAATAAAATAGATTTAGATGATGGCTGTTACCAAATGGATTTAGATAGTTGTAAAATATTTACGTATAAAAATAAGATTTAAAAATTTATTCATAAAAAAAAAAAAGTTTTTAAGATCTGACTTGCTTAAGACCATAGTATAATATACTATAAAATGAGATTTTAGATCCAACCATGTAGTCAGCGAGTGCTGATTTGATATGCATTGTAGAATGTGAGCAGGAGTATTCAGCTTGATCATTAGGCTTTAAGTGCAGTAACCACACCCAGAAAATTACCCTAATGTACACTTTGTTGTTGTAATGTACATTTGAAAAATTTGTGGCTCATCTGTCACAAAGAAAATAATTTATCAAAGGAATTATCTAGTCAAGAAGATACGGAAGTGTGAATATTATTCTTTTGTTGTCCTATTTACTAACTGCTACAAGATCAAGTTCAATTATTTCATGTAAATTTATCTGTAATTTTATTATCTAATTTTACATGTAAATTGACCTGAAAAATTATTTTTTTCTAAAATAAAAAACTATGTAAAAAATTATAACTGAATGCTGCAAAAAAAAAAAGATGGAGAATTTAATAGTATGTGCTAAACACATCAGATGATTCACATTCATAGATCTCCAGCATTACAATAGATATTGGAAGAAATTTTTTAGATTCAATACAAAATTCAGAAAATTTATTTTCAAATAAGTAACATATTTTTCACTAAGTATCAATCATTAGCCAATACTTCAGAAAAACTTTTAGCCAATCCTTCAGTCAATTTTTCAACCATCATATGTTCCATACGCCTTTCTTCAAAACCATCTTAATATTCTTTTTAAAAATTTTTTCTTTTTTCTTTTTTAAACAGTATATTTATTGATATCTTCACCATAACCTATTACAATTTTTTAATTTAACTGACAATTTGTCTTAAGGACATCATATTCCAAAGTAGTTGTTGAGGATCTTATGACAAACAAATATTGGACCGCCAGTTTCATTAACATAGTAGTCAACTGTGTTTAATATAATAATGTAAATTTTATATTGCTTTTAGAACTAAATATTGTTTGTAACTGAGAAGTTTGAAAGAGTTTCAAAACAACTATTCTTATCTTTTGAACATTATGTTTTAGTTTCTCTTTTTTCGTATAAAATGATTATACAGATCATTCTTTCTAATAGTTATAACTGAGTATGATTCATTATAAAAATATTTATGTTACACTCAATTAGTAATTTAAAAAAACTACCTTTAATGTACCTAAAATTTTATGAGTATAAACTTATATAGATGCAAAAAAATAAGATTTTATATGTTAAGACCAATTATCTAAAAAAAAAAAATCAAATAAATTATCTACCTCAGTACTTATCATTGTTGGTCTGATGTACAATGATGAATTTTCTGCATCAGGAATCCAACTCTGATCAACTCTTACTAATTCAGCTATACATTTTAGAAGTTCATCTTTATCAAATCCCTTGAATAACACATAGATACATTTTTATCTTTATTGAAACAAATCAAACCAATTTAAAATCTTAAATTACAAACCAAATAATATAAAATTTTAATTATAATTTAGGTGATTCATTATAAAAGTAACTTATCTTTATCAAAACCATAGAACATTTATAAAACACACACAAATAAACTTTTATAATACACACACACAAAAATTATAATATAGAAAATGACATTATTATTATGATATTATTATTGATTATAAACATTTATAAAAAACATACAAAAAAAATTTAATATAGAAAATGACAAAATTTTTAATAAAAGAACTATTTATTCATAGTCAATGGTGTCCAGGTTCTCCAAAAATGTTGAAAGACTTGGACAACACTGAAAAAAAATGTATAGAATTTAAAGACTTGAAACATATTCTTTTTTTTAGCCCTGAGTGTTAATCCTATGTTCAGACCAGGAGTGTCCCTGTATTCCATGCTGCTATTTTACTAAGGACTGCAGATTCAAAATTTTTAGTTCCTGTATCCATATTATTGTAAATTTTTTTGTTAATTAATTTATCAAACTGCCTAAAAAACAACTTTACATTTATTTAAACAAAACAAAAAAGTTTTTAGCATAATGTAAATATCATAAAGCTATAAAAAGGCCCAAGATAAAACATTTCCTGTTTCATCTGAAGTTTATAACAAGGCCTGCTCATCATATTATATCAATAAAGATATTATTTTTTATATCATTGTTCACAACAAAATTATAAATTTATTTAAGCATTATAATTTAATAAATATATATAACTTATATGATAATTTATATATTATGACAATTTGATAGGAAAATACATAATACTGATGACAAAGTTTTTATTAAAAAATAAAAAAAAATAAAAATTCTAAAAGATTCTTTATTTTCTATTAAATCGTTTTTTTACAACCAATAGAAATGACATTTAATATTTGTTTTTTTTTAAGATTTTTTGGAAACCCTTTCTTATCAATCAATCTATATATTTTGATTAAAGATCTTACAATTAAAGTCATTCACAAATAGTTAAAATCTAAAAAAATTTAAAATACCATAAAATAATAATAATACAAATAAAATTAACAATTATAAAAATAATTAGATAATTATAAAATAATAAACCAATATAAATTTCAAAATAATTGAATAACAAATATTTATTTAACTAAAAACTTTATTAAAACTGTGTGCTATGATCAGTTTAAAGGTGAAGTATAAATTTGGAGGTGATTTTTCTAGAAAACCAATATCAGAAAAGGATAATGTCAATAGCAAGCTTAATTTTTAAAACCATTTAATCTTTTTTTTTAAAGTGTTGACGTTTTTTATTCAGTACAAGGGTTCAATTTTCTGAGAAACATCTTAAGAAATTAGAAAAATGACAAATTAATCATATAATGGTAGTACTTGTCTTTTTTGATAATTGATTATCATTTATTGATTTTCATTATTGACTTGATTATCATTATTATTTTTTTGATAACTTGATATTTTGATAATTATTACTTTTGATTTTGATGACTTGACACAACTTGATTAACATTATTACTTTTTTGATAACTTGATTACCATTTATTTAAAAATTTACTGCATATAAAACTTATAAATAGCAGATTTAGCTTTAAAATAATAACATAATAATAATTTATTCTTATAGAATTTTCATGACTGGTCAAACTGAACCTATGGAAGTGTTTAAAATTTGTTAATACAATAAATGCAATTAAGTGGAATCCATTATATAATTAAAACATTTCTTTTTTATTAAAAGCTTTTTTTTTTTTTTTTTCTAATTTTTTAGTTTCTCATCAATAAAAAATGTTTATAATATTTAATTCCCTCACTTTCTTTTTATTTATAAAAATTGCAAATTACCCTATTAGCAAAAAAGTATATAACCTATATTAAATAAGCTCTGTTACTTGCCATTATTTGAGATATGTAAGGCTTTGAAATAACCTCTACTGCTTTTCACTAACATTTCACAGACATTTACAAGATAAAGAAATTACCTGAGTCATTATCACAAAAACTTATGCACAGTCTTCTTTCTTTATTTCTGTTATATAATTAAATTAGGATTTTAATTAACTTGATTTGCATACAAGCAAATCCGAAAAACAAGGATATTGCCATCATTTGTGTCTATGCAATTAACATCTAAAATTTAATTACATTTAAATAATATCAATACGTCCCTGGTAGTACCGCGCTCAACTTGTTTCTCTGTGCAATGGCCTTGTTTGTCAAGGTTTATGTTTCGCATTTAACAAGTTGAGAGAGGGTTGTAGCTACAATAAAATAGCCTACTTGACTGTGGTGGCCCTCACAGCCTTGGGGAGGTGAATACATTAAATTAAGATTAAGTTTAATTAATATCACGATAAACTAAAGCAACAATCATATGTAATTACATCACAGAATCACACTCAGGACGACAAAAATTCAAGTAAATAAATAAATAAATTTTATTACTTTAAAGATGATAATATATATTTATTAGAAAAACATCACAGGTTTTTACTTAATTTAGTTATTTTTATTGGAATTAAGTGCTATATATACTTCCTATATTCAAGGTTTCATACATGGTCAATTCTTGTCATACATATCTCAAACTGGAACTAGACTTCTAAAAATCTTTACATATTTTACAAATAAATAAAAAATAAACTTTAAATAAATTTTTTTTAAATAAAAAAAAAATAATTTTTTTAAAAAACCTTTTTCTTTATTTACTAAAAATAATTCTTATTATTGTTACTTTTTATAGTTATTAGTATTAAAAAAATATAGTTTAGATAAATTGAAAATAACTTATATAATGGGTATTTTAATATTTATTTAGAAACCTTTGTCTGTGACTATTAACATGGTAAACAGTAAAGTATTTTAAAATTATAGCCTGCAATTTTTAATTTGTTATATATATATATATATATATATATATATATATATATATATATATATATATATATATATATATATATATATATATATATATATATATATATATATATATATATAATTTAATATCTGAATAATGAATATCTGGTAATAATAAAGTTACTTACAGGCATACTAAGCCTCGTAGAAGATCTATGAAATCGATTCATATTTTCATTTGGACGAAACATATATATGTTCCCATTAGCACTTTTGTACGCCTTCATACCTTCAAAACACTAAACAATAATGTAAGAGTAAGTTTCAAATAATAAAAAACACCAAATGATCAAGTGCAATATAGGGACAGGCTATAAAAGACAGAAATTGAAATTTTATCCATTATTATCATAAAATTTATTACTATAATCACTTCTAGTTAACAAAGAACCATTAATCTGTGTATATATTAAAAATAATAAAGTTGCATTTATATATATAAAAAATAAAAATAATAAACAAAAGTGTTTAAATTTAATATTTTATTTGCCGGACATGCATGGAGTTTGCGCATTAGCATATATATTGCAATCTATTACATTCTGTATTTTACTTTTCTGTGTTTTTAAAAGAATATTACATTTTATACACTATTATAATGTATATTATATTGTAAACAATTCTTAACTTCATAGCTTTAATTATGTTTACTGCTATTAACTTAAAATTTAAAAGGCCAACAGACTTTAATTTAAAAGTAGCTAAAAAATTCCAAGTCAAGTCTCACTCTTCCAGGGTTGGAAAAAACCCAGGATTTAAAAAAAAAAAACCCAACCTAAATGGTTTTTTTTTGGGGGGTTTTATTGGGTATTTTGGGTTTTTTTAAAAACCGATCAAAATACCAAATTTTTATAATTGTATGAGTACAATAATTTTTTTTTTAATTTCATAAATTCACCTCCCTATTGCTCCAATGACCACTTCAGTCAAGGGAGCAACTTATTTTTTAAAAATATTTTGTCTCAATCCTTTACATTACCTTTTTACTAACAAACAACATTAACACTGTGCGGAGAAATAGATTGAGCACAGTAATTTTAGCAGAGGTAATTTGAACCCCACAGAGGTAATTTGAAAAGCACATTTTACCTATAGTGCAAAAGGGGACTCCATCAACTATAAATGATGTTAATTAATTGCACTAAATTAAATACATGTTTAGAATATTTTTGAATAAAAAAAATCACTATAAAGATGAATATGACAATTGAGTCATTCAAAGTTGTTAAGACAATATAAATGTTGCAAACTAGTTTTTTTTACTAACATATTCAACATATTATTTCAAAAACTACTTTGCACAAGCTTACAACATGTAATCAACAAGTTTGCAACATGATATTGCAACCTTGTTGAAGTTATTGTCAATCAAGATGACTATGAACACTTTTTAAACATTTTTGCATCATAGAAGAAAACTGTTAGTCTAACCACTACATTTTTTTTATCAGAACATTATACTGTCCAGCTTCTTGGAAAAGTTATTAGCCTGATTAACTGGGATTAGGCAAAAAATTGATTTTTGCCTAAGCTTTGATTGTTCTTTAAATATCTAAAATGAATTTGTTAAGAACCATTACAGTGTCTTCACCACCAGATTCTTTTTTTTTCCTTAAAGATGTTTTACCGGCTCAGTTTTGCAACTGAATCAAAGTAACACATTATATAGCTCTATTGTGTGTGTTTCTTCACCTTTTAGCAACTTGATACTGATGTTCATAGTCAACCCTGTTGGTGGTACATGTTGTAAACTTGTAGCTGATGCAAAATATTCAAAACCTGTCAAAAGACAGATGAGCACGAGTATCATTCATTGTGAAATGCATACAAGTTTTCAACATGTTCTCTCATTGAATGAGCAAACATGTTGCAAACTTATTGCACATAATTTAATTTTTTTTTATGTTTTAAAGTTGTATGCACTTAATAAGGACAAGTCTAGTAAACTGTAGCATTTATTTTGCCTGACAACTTTCTATTTATAAACTGTAAATAAAGTTTAATAATTTTTATATATAGGATTTTGCTTGTGACTTTGTACTGAAATTTGCAGTTTAAAACATAAGCTTTAAAAAATAAAAGATCAAAAACCGATATAAAATGACATATATAAAATGCTTGTTAGGAAATATAGATATTTGAGTAATGTCTTGAAATTTAGTTGATAGAATGATTTTTATTTCCTTTATAAGTATTTAACTAATTTAATGTTTTAATACATATTTCAATAACATTTATAATAACTTGCTATATGTTTTAAAAAAATTAATAACCAACATGCTACAAAAACAGATTGATCGGTTTTGGATATATTCTAAATACCATTATGTATATAAATGCAGTATTTACAAGAGTAATTACAATATAAAAGTTGCATTTGCTGATAATAAACCATTTATAAGTGTTAAAATCAGAATTATCAGTTGCAAAATAAGACATTTTTAAAAAAACCCAAATATATTTTGGTTTTTTTTGGGTTTTATTGTTTTTTTTTGCCAACCCTGCACTCTTCTCCTTGGTTTTTCTCTGATTGTGATATTACAATTTCCAATCCGAACAATTACTTTCATATTTATCAGCAAAACAATTCTCCAGAAAACAGACATTTGTTTACTATTGCTAGAAACAATTGTAAAAAGATTTTGTCTAACGCTCAAGCCAACTATTCTCAGGTCACCAAATCTTGTATTTCATCCCAAAAATTAGGCCTCATGACTTCTGGAGAATCTTTAACATTATCTACCAGGGGTGTGGAGTCGTAAAAAAAAATAACGACTCCGACTCCAGTTGTTGTAATTTTTGAGTACAACTCCAACTCCAAAGCAAAATTTTTGAAAAATTCTTTGAGTTTTTTTAAAAATATTATGCGATAAGTTAAAAAAAAGTTTTTTGACAAATTTATGAAACGTTCTTTGAGGTTTAGTATAAATATAAGGTTAATTGAATGTTTTATACATGCACGTGCAATACCGAGAAGTTTTACTATTGGAGTCGGAGTCGCGATTTTGTTTAGCAACTCTGACGCCGCTAAAAATGTTGCAACTCCGCAACTCTAACTCCACAGCCCTGGTATCTACAATAAGGGCAAATCTGTTAATCCACCTCACTTGTATGGTTCAGACTTTGTCACCTCACCTAAAGATAAAGCTGAATTGATTGCTGAGAACTTTTCATCAATCTCATCTATCTTCATAGACAAGGTACAATAATAACAAGTGCTTATCAGAGTCTTGTTTTCCAGCCTGCTGGAAAGCAGTATCTGTTATTTTCAAAAATTCTGGAGAGCAATCTGACTTGTCTAACTACTGTCCAACTAGTCTTCCTCCTATCATACACAAGGTTTTTGGTCTTAAATTAAAAAACACTTATTCTCTTATCTTGAAACTAATAATTTTCTAATAATCAATATGGATTTTGGTCTTTTCGTTCTACTGCTAATTTGTTAACAGTAATAACCGATAGGTTTGATCATACATTAGATACATGTAAATAAGTTTGGCATACTGGTCTTCTCCATAGGCTTTTTTTCTTACAGTTTATCAGGTAACACCTTCAAGATTTTGAATTTTTCCTTACCAATCATAGTATAAAAGTTGTCCACAATGGACACCACTCTCCTTTATATCTTGTAACTTTAGGGGTTCCTTGAGGTTCTATCCTTGGCTCTATAATTATTTGAACTTACATCAACTAGCTCCTAGAAATGCTCACATGGTAGCATTGTTCGCTGATGACACTATCATTTATTCTTGTCATGATAAGAAGCCAACACTCTCTGATTTTTTGGAGGGGGTATCTGATTACTTGGAGGGGGTATCTGAGCTTGAAAAAGATCTCACTTCTGCTACAGTGGCTGGTGAACTTTAATTTAGACAAAACTCAATTTTTTACAGCCAATCATTATTGTAATAATTTAGATCTTCCTTTATTTACGAACATTAATGCACTCAATGAGTCATCTACTCTTTATCTTCGAGGATTAACTCTTACTTTCAATCTTTCTTTAAAATCATATATCAATGCGATTGCAAAATTAGCCTCTGCTAAGGTTGTATCTCTTTATCGTGCTCACCACTTTCTTACTCTGGATTCTATTCTCTATCTCTATAAATCTCAAATCCGACCTTGTATGGAATACTGTTGCCATATCTGGGGTGAATCTTCTAATGATGCCCTTTCTCTTTTAGACAAGGTGATAAAAACGCATTGTAAACATAGTTGGACATGCTCTTGCAGCCAATATCCAACTATTATCACATTCTCGTAATGTTACTTCTCTTTCTCTTTTCTGTAAATACTATAATGGGCACTGCTCTAAATAGCTAGCTTTTCTTGTGCCATCTATAAAATTCATTCTCGTGTTACTCCTCATTAAATTAAGTCTCATCCTTTTACTGCAACTGTTCCTAAGTGCTCCAAAAACTCTTATTTGTCTAGTTTTTTTTCTTGAACATCAGTTCTTTGGAATTTGCTTCCTTCATCTTGTTTTCCTGATTCATATAACTTGCATTCTTTTAAGTTGTCTGTTAATCGCCATCTTGCTCATATTTTCTCTTCCAGTAAATTCCAAAAATGGTTGCTTGGAGCCCTGTTAAAAAAAAAATCAAATTGTTTTAAAGTATCTTTAGTTTTTTTTACCGATTAAAAAAATTTATATATATTAAAAAAATTAGGAATAATAAATATGTTTTATTTACTATGAATTTGTTTAAACATTTGAGAATTGAAGAATAAAGAGAAACAAAACTTTAGAAGAGAAACAAAAGTTTTTGTTTTGTTTTTTTATTTTCCTCACATCAGATAAAATAGTGAGTTAAATATCAAAATTTTTCATATAATTTCCCATCTTTTAAGTCATTTTTCAAAAAAAATGACTTAAAAGATGGGAAATTATATGAATCAGGAAAACAAGATAAAGGGAGTAAATTCAAAAGAATTTTTGGAACTCTTAGGAAAACAGTAAAAGAATGAAACTTGATTGAATGATGAAAAATAATTATGCTTCTTCATGTTTCTTTGAGGATAATGTGGTTAGGCAAGTTGATAATCAATGTCAAAATGAAAAGCTATTCAAGATATAATTATTCATCTATAAAATTTACAAAATACTGCTAACGGGTAGAAAAAAATTTAAACACATATAAGGTTAGGCAAGTTAAAAATTATCATTGCAGAAACAAAAGAGATTAGGCCTAGGGGTAATGAAAATAACGATCTAGGAAATGTTGCTAGAAAAGAAAGAACACATTATATAGCAAGAAGTAATACTATATAAAAGTATAATTTTTTAGGAAGAATAAACCAGATCTGACATTTTTTATGTTACCATAATGGAAAGGTAGTTTTGCTTCCACTTTCACTATTTCCACAAGCTTTACAAGATTTATTTACAGGGAGTTATATAGATTATAATTTCAATATGAATTTTTTAGATGCCAAATAATGTCTTTCTTTTGCTTCATTTAAAGTGATTGATCGAAATTTCGGGTACTCTATTTGGTGTCGAAATCGAAATTTCGACAAATATTTTACCGAAACTGATACCGACATTACGGCTAGTAAAAAATAATTATATTAGAAAATTTTATTTTAAAATGCAATTTTACATTAGTTATTTTTTTATACATGTATAATGTCAGAATTGATTATACGCGTTTCACAAATTGAGATTTAATACAAAGTTTAAAAAATATAAATTAATAGCGAAAAGTGGCAGATTTTCCATGCAAAACAAAATTTTTTCGAGGCACTTTGTGAAAATTCTCAAAAATAATAATTTCAAAGATAAAGTTGGGTGGCACCCAGTATAAAAAGACCGACTAAAACACGAATTATGAGTTGCTAACTGCTAGCATGTATGATTTCTTTTAAAAAATTATTAAGGAATAAAACTTTTTTTTGCTGGATCAAAAATCAAAAAACAGTGATTTCCATGTTTCATGGTTTAAAGTTTTATTTTTTTGTAAAGTTATGTGAATATAAAATTAGCATCTGCTAAGGTTGAATCTCTTTATTGTGCCTGCCACTTTCTTACTCTGGATTCTCTTCTTTATCTCTATAAATCTCAAATGATCGTCCTTATATGGAATACAAGGACAAATTTTTATAAATACTATAATGGAAGCTTTTATATTGATACTATAATGGGTGATGCTCTAAAAAGCTAGCACCTCCTGTGCCATCTACTTAAATTCATTCTCATGTTACTCATCATTCAATCAAGTCTCATCTTTTTACTGTGGCTGTTCCTAAGTGCTCTAAAAATTTGCCTAGTTATTAAGTGCTCTAAAAATTTGTCTAGTTATTTTACTTCAACATTAGTTTATTGGAATTTGCTTCTTTCTCCTTGTTTTTCCGATTTTTCATATAACTTGCAATCTTTAAAGTTGTCTGTCAACCGATATCTTGCTTTTTAAACTTCATCTTTTCTGTTTCAGTAACTTCCAACTATAATAGGGCTTGAGCTTAAAATCTCCGGCCAAACGGAGAAGACTGATAAAAGTAACCAAACCATTTTTTTTTTGAAGTTTTTTATTTTTAATGGAATAAAAAAATCAAATTTTATAAAATTATTAAACTAAACTATATTTAATCAAATGTTAAGCTTAAACGCTCTTATTTAACTTCAAATTATTTTTTATTCTATTTTACTTTCATTATTTTATTTTTGATTTGAAAAACCAATAAAGTCACTACTAGAGGGAATAATTAACTTTTTAAATAATTAAAATAATAAGTTTTGAAAGTTACTTAGGTTTACAAAGACATATCAGGCCTTGCGATAAAGCGTCGGGCGATGTGAATTTTACGTCGTCCAAGAGCAATTTTGCGTGTAGCTAGGGCTATTTGTGTCGAGCAAAAAATTTTTTGTTTGAGTATATTTAAAGATATTTTTGAGCGGAATTTTAATGAAGTAATTATTTTAATAAGTTACGATTATTTTAACATTTAATAAAGTATTTTAAAAACCGCACTCTGTTGAAATAAAAGTTTGAATTTAAAAAAATTAAATATGCTCATTATTTACAAGTAGAAAAAATTCAAAAATTAAAAAAAAAGTTTAAATCTTTTAAGCTAACATTTAATTAAAATTATTCAGCAATAGCAAAGTTGTCGATAAAATTGAACAAAAATACTTTCTTTTAGTTTTAGATTTTAAACTTAAATAATTATTTTACGGGGGTTTGTTAGGTTTTAAAATTATTCCATAGATTTAAAAATATTTATTAACTGTTAGATGTATTTAAAGTATTTAAGAGTAATTTCGAGGAAACATTTTAAAAATTGGTGAGGGCAAATAAAAAAATAAAAAAATAATAATATTAAAACGTATTCTACTTGATTCAATAAAAAAGTACAGTTATTAAAATTTTTGTAAAAAGTAACTCAAAAAAATTACTTAAATAATAACGATCGCTTTTATGTTAAAAGTTACCAAAACTCAACGAAGCGTGCTCAAAAACAGCTGCTGAAAAATAGAACGTCAATAGTTTTTCGAATAATTTTTAATAATAATTTTTAAGAATAATTTTTTCGCTGAAATATTTCTTTTATACCTATAAGATTTTTATTCTAACATTTTATTTTATTTTACTAGAAATAAAATTCCTTGTTAACATTAAAAATTATTCAAAACGTTCGTTTAAGTTTTTTATTAATACGAGTGATTGTGCTTATCAACTGCTTTTTGAAAATAAATAAAAATAAATAAATAAATATTATATAAAATCGCTTGTAAAAATATTAGCTATAAAATTTTCAGTTTATTACTCGCTGACTTTTTAAAAAGAAAAAATAATTATTTGAAAAACTTTAAATTGCATATTTAAGAAAAAAAAAATCAAATATTAGCATATTTTATAATCTTTTTTAAATTTAAGTTATAATGTTTTTTATTCGTTTAGTATAGACAAAACGCGACAAACGTCGAGAAAATAAACAAATGTTTTTACATTTTAAAAAACGAAACATTCCAAAACATTTTTAAATAATAACATTTCTACATTAACGATTTAAAGTAGTTTTGCGGTAATTAAGTAAATTGGTGCAGTTAATGTCGATAAATATGAAAAGCAAATAAAAAGAATTTAATGACGTCAAAAATCACGTCGTGCTTATGCGTCGCGCAGTTCTTATTCATCGCAAGGCCTGCATATCTAAATAGAATATGGAATGAAAAAATAAATTTATTCTGGGTGACCAGCCAATAACTAATTCAAAACTCCAGGATATTTCCAAGAATTTTGAAGGAAAACTTTTGGTTTATCTTTTTTTTCAAGAAAAAAACAAAATATATTGATTTATGAAAAAAAAAAAAAAAATGAAAATGAAAACTAACTAAATTATTAGTAAATGTTAATAACACTAAAATAACATTAAAGAGATTCCCAAGTGCCGAGACAAGTTGTGTTTATATCATAGATAAACATTAAAAAATAAGTTAAAAGCTAATAAAACTTTCCAAAACAAATTATTGAATGAGTATTAACAAGAAACTTCTAAATTTTTAACGCCATTTTGTTTCTCACGATGGAAAGTTCTGACTCTTTGAATATTTTTATTTTTTAAATCTGGTCTGATTAATGCGTTTTGTATTTATTATTCAACTAATATAAGTACTATACAAAAATTTTGAAATGATCCTGACATTTGCTAAAAACAAGTTGTGCTAATAAAATCTAAAATCACAAAAATACTATTTTATTTTTGTGACTTAGTGTTAAATAATACAAATAAATTGCAGATTGTAAAAGAAAACATTTATTTTGCTGTATTTTTAAATAAAAGTAGATAATTTACTTAATTTCTATTTTTATCATGCTAGTTTATTCTAACTCAAACACTAATAATGCACTTGGAGATCCCTTTACACAAACTTTTTTTTTTGCATAAATTATCAAATTCAGTTATTAATTCACAAAATTAATAATAACTTTGAAAAAGTTAAACATGATAACCAAATATTGAATTATATAAAAAAAGAGTTTCAGGATTTTCAGGAACTATTGCTAAAAGGGGTGTTTTTCTAAGACTTTCCCAGGCCCTATCAAATTCCAGGACTTTCCCAGGGTTTCAAGGACCACTGGCCACCCTGCTGTTTGATAAAAAATAATTTCAATAAGCTAAAGAATATATTTTTGAAATCAACACATTTTTTAAAATTAATATTATTAAATTATAAAAATATTCATATAGCTAAATGATATATCTTCAACATATAGCCATAAAATATTTTATACCAACCTGAAATGCTTGATGTTTTATAATTCATAAAAAGTTTAGTTATATAAACTTAACATATATAACTTACTGCTAAGCCATAGTGCAAAACAGATGAAGATGGATGCATTGGAATAAAATCATAAGGGTTTATCTTTGGAGCACTCCACCCACATTTGGCCGTCCAATTGACAACAAGCATATGATCTGACATAATTTCACCAAATGGTAACTGAGAACCTTTTTCAGGCTTTTTTCGTGGGGATTTGGTTGTATTAATGACAATATCATCATACTAAACACAAAGCAATATATACAGAAAAAAGCTTATAAAAAAAATCAAAATTATTTTATAGCCAATTTTCCTAAAATTAAAAAGCACAAAATGCAATTTATTGATTGACAAATGTTTAAAAATTAATTAAAAGTTTGAGATTATTTTAGCATATATTATAAATATATATAAATTGATTTCAATAAAAAAGGCAGCGTATGACTATTTTTAAAATATATTTTGATATATTAATTTATTAACAATATTTTGCTGACTTATTGTGGTCAACATCATCAGATAACGAACTTTCATTACCTTATGACTTTGACCACAATAGGTCAGCGAAATTTTGTTAATATATTATTATATCAGAATATATTTTAAAAATGGTTAAAAGCACCCTTTTTTATTGAAACCAATTTAAATATTTATAAACACATCGTATAACAAAAAATGAATTTTAAAGATAGAACTTTGTGATATTAGTACATTTTAAGACAATTTATCTTTATTTAATGCTAAAGTTTAAGCATTAAATACAAACCATTATATTAATATAAGTATGAAAAATGTTTCATTAAAAATATTTTTATTTAGTATTTACGGTGTGCACTCAAAAGATAACATAGAAAAGTTTAACAAAACAATGGCTTCCTTACTATTTGGTAATAAAAGTCTCAAAACTATCTTCTATTAAGAAAACTATTACAACCAGGGATGCAGAATCCCAAAAAGAACTCTGGATTTAAAAATGACAAAAAAATTACTTCTTCCTAGTTTTTGGTATCAATGAGCTTTGAAAATATAAAAAAGCTTATGGACTACTAAAAAGGGAAAAAATCAAGACTTTTAGGTTTAGTTTTTAATTTTTGAACCCAGAGTGCTTAAGTATAATGGAGGCGAGGACTGTGGGACTCCAGGACTCTGAGCTTAAAAAAAATTAGTTTTAAGTCATTAAATATCATAAATTTTTTTCTTACAACAGATCATAAATATTTAGAGCTTCTGGACACCAGAGAACATAAAAAATTTAAGATATAAAGCCAGAGTCCTTTTGGGACTCATTATACCTATAAAACATTTGCATTTTAACAACTATATTTTGAAAGTTTCCTGCCATAGTCTTACAAAAGTTTTCTTCAAAACTCTCTTCACTTCTCTCTAACTTTTTTAATAAGTGCTTGACTGAATCTAGTTTTCCTGCCCACTGGAAAATGGCATTTCTGGTTACAACTTTTAAAAAAACTGGAGAACATTCTGATCCAGGGTTGCAAAAAAAAACTTTTTTTTTTTGAAAAAAACCAAAAACCATGGATTTTAAAAAAAAAAAAAAAAAAAAAAAAAAAAAAAAAAAAAAAAAAAAAAAAAAACATGGCTCTTTTGGTTTAAACTCCTTTTTTTTTAAAAAAATAACCCATGTTTTAGTCAACTTTTTAAATTAAAAAAGCATTAGTCATTTTACTTAAGTACATCAAAATTTCTATTAACATTACTGTCGTAATTCATCAACCAATACATCATTATCTAATGTTCTCTATATAAAAAAAAAGGTTTGCCGCTTTTTCTACTCCCAACTTGTTTCGTAACTTGGAATGAACAAGCCCAGAAGTCAAAAAAATTCTTTTAATTGCAGCACAAGAAGCTAGTGCATTTACCAAACTTTTAATATCCATGATCTTGCAGTCAAAAGTTTTTGATATTTCCACTATTATGTGATACATTTTTTAAAACAGATTCATTATACAAATAGCTTTTATCGAATGGAGCAGATTTGGTTTTCCACTTGAATATTATTGGTAAAAAGTTCCTAAAATCTTTATCTGCAAAGGTTCACAAAAATAAAATCTTTATCACAGCTTCATTTTCATTTTCAGAAACATTAGATACAAAATATCAAGGATCTAGTGTGTTTGAAAGGAAATAAGCATTACTGACAGTCTGAAGATATCTAGTTTCCAACAATTTACTTTTCAGTTGATAAAAATGATAACAAGTTTATCAGCTCTTTAAAAATTTCAACAGTATCACTTATTTTTGTTTCATCTTTTTGCAACTTATCTAGAGCAAGATCGATTGATTTTAATACTTTCAACAAAGAATCATTTTGCTTTATCTGTATGTCACTTACTTTTCTACCAATCCTGGAATCCAAGTCTCTATTTATTTCAAACATTGTGAAAATGATGCTCCAGTTACTGACATTTTTTAAGTGAATAACATAAAGAATTCCAATGTGTTTCAGTAGGAAGTGCTAATATTGTTCCTCCACTTTCTCTATAATTTGCTCTAGCTTGATGACTATTATTTTATTATCTGTGTAACATGCTCACTTCAATGTTAAGATCATTAGCTAAAAGATTTAGTATATGAGCTGCACACCCATAAGTAATAGTTCATATATATAAAGAACATACTCTCTCCCCTCCCCTCCTTCAGATGACAATATTTGTTGCCATTGATTTCATATTAGCTGCATTGTCAGTCACAAAACTTTTTATTGTGCATCCAAATTTATGTGTTACAGATTCTATTTCTTCTCTTGTCAATTGTGTAAGATATTCACCAGTATAATGTATGAGGGAAAGACCAGAAGTACTAATTGTTTCTACTAAAATGTTAATATCTGCAATTACAGAAACACAAACTATTGGTTAAGCTTAACTATTATCAAACATTTGACTGAAGTTAAAGTGGACTAAGACCTTTTTATTTTATTTTATGATGTGAAACTGAAAATAAACATGCAGTATTAATTTTAAAAAAATATGTCAATACATTAGAGTAATATATATATATATATATATATATATATATATATATATATATATATATATATATATATATATATATATATATATATATATATATATATATATATATATATATATAAATGCGTAAGTTGCACCTATATATGGTTAATTACTGTGCAAACCTTGACTGCCCACAGACAACATGTTCTGTTCAAGGAGCCTAAAACAGCCAAACATTGTTATTATTCTCCATGTTTATATTTTACTCCTGAAAATAACTAACAACATCTGACAACAAAATCAGCTTTGTACAGCAAAGCACTCTAAATTTATTTTGAGAAGTGCTAAAACTCCTTTTTCAAAATATATGTTCATTATTTTTAATGCAATGTAGAAAAATAATGTAGAATTGAGTTTATAAATTAGTTTATTCTATTGAAATATTCTGATAAAGATAATTTTGTTTTACAGCTATCTCTCTCTTTTTTATACTATTTTTATCATATTTATATATATCTTTTAACTTTTATTTTATTTCTACTTTTATTTATACATATTTAAATTTATTATTTTATTATAAAAATATATTTTTTATATTAATTTTGTTATTATTATTTATTTATTTTATACTACATTTCATTTTTAACTTCACCTATTTACAAAAACAATTAATTACAATAATATAACCAAATTTAAACCTTGCCGTAACCTTAAACCTAAGCCTGACCTTGATGCCTGGTTTAACCAAACCCTCTGTCGATGTAGTAGCACTCCCTTGCGAGTCAAGCTATTTGATAGTTGACGTATGTACTTTTAAGTCTCTATAAAAGTTTCTTATTAGTACATTTTTTTACAAAAAAAAAAATGCTTAAGGGGAACGGGTACGCTAAAATATCCCCAATAATGCAACTTTTTTTTTTTAAACACCTTTGCTTCCAACAAGGCTGCAAGCAACCACTAATTAGTGTTGGAAGTTACTGGAAGAGAAAAGATGAAGATTGTAGAGCAAGATAAAGATTGACAGACTTTTCTGGTTCATATAACTACAAATTATATGAACCAGGAAAGCAAGATGAAGGAAGCGAATTCCAAAGAACTGATGTTTGAGGAAAAAAAATAGACGAATGGGTCATTCCATGCCAAGTGGTGCAAAGGTCCCTTATGGACCATCTCAGATTTTATTGAAATTTTTTGATTTTGTACATATATATGTGAAAAGCATGTTTTGAAAATTTTAGATCAATATCTAATATGGTTCTTGAGAAAACGCTATTTAAGTAGTGGGCTATTTTGCATAAAATATCACTCTACAAGAAAAAAGATTTTTTTCATAATTTTTAACAGCCAATAACTTTTGAACAATTTAGTTTTATACTTCAGTTATTATAAGATAGCAAGTGTGCTGTAAATACTTTGGAAAAAGAAAAAAATTTTAATTCTGGCATCTTAACTTTTTCCATAATGGCAGGCTAAAGTTGAGATTTTTGTTTTTAAAATAATTTTTTTTGTGATTTTAATGATCTTTATCTTGAAAACTAGTTAAAAGATTAATAAAAATCAAATTGCCTGCAGATCTACATGTGGTGGATAAACATTTTTAAAAAAATCAGTTGATTAAAGAGCTGCATTTAAAAGTTATAGGTCTCTAAAATGAGTTAGATCGAGATTTTCGTAAAATTGATCTGTGATGCAAAGCATCTGTTACCTAAGATGGCACTTTTTTTTTTTTCATAAAAATTTTTATACGCATCAATTAAAGACTGTTAATTAATAAAAACCAAAAAAATTAATGGGCGCTTATTTATAACCCCAAAAGGTAGTCTCTAAAAGTCAGGTAAATTTTCCATAAAATTCTGAAATTGACATAATAAATAAATGCATTGAATTATATAATTTTATTTATTATGAAATATCAATTAAAAAATATCAATGTTTATAGCCTTATAATCCCTTTAGATAAAGAACTTTTATATCCCAATAGATAAAGTCCCCTCCCCTCTGTCCCCTCCCCTCTTTATAATACAATATTTTTTTTTAATGAAAAACAAACAAAATGTTTTTAAGAAAATAAACAAAATTAATAAAATTTACAAAAAGTTAAATTTCTCAAATAATAAAATAATCTCATTGATTTCTTTTAAGTCGATACTATAAAATCTTCCACTGTTTGACTGGACTTTAAGAGATTGCACTTTGTATAAAATATGCATCAGAGGTACCCAACAAAGATCATCTCTGCATAACCACGTGAACTTGTTACATAAAGACTTT